AAACGGATCTGCCACTGGATATACTTTTGGACACTTGCAAGGTGAGATCGTTGAATGAAAACGCAAGGAACATACTAAGAGAAGGACGATGCTGCTGCAGATCAGTCATCAGACTACAGGTAAACGCGAGGAGTCATGCTTTTCAGCGATGTTGGAGGGGTCCCAAACATATCCCTCGATAAGGCCATAGAGGCACAAAAAACTTATTACCCAATCAGCGTTAAAAAGACTTCGCAGAAAGATCTAGAAAACACAGAATCACTTGCCACGGTTTTGATTCTATAATTACCTATGAGGCTACTATAGTTAGTATGGTTCCGGAAGCTCAAGAGCATTTGAAATAGAATGAATACCCTCATTTTTTCTGTACCTTAGGAGTAAAACGTTCTCTCTACACTTCACGCCTTTTTTGTCGTGTTCAAGTTGCCGTGCAGAATTAGCCTGGGTTTATTAGAAGAGCTTAGGAAATTGATTCTGGCATTCAGTTAGAAGACTAATCAGAAATAAGCACTGAAAATAAAAGTAAATCAGTCTTCAAAGTTGTGATATTGTTTGGAATAAGGTCTAGTTCGTTTTTATCAGAAACCACTCACATTAAGAAAAATAATTTCGATCAACATGTCAAACGAAAACAATCATTTGTAAGTCATGATTTGACAGTGAATACGAGTATATTGAACGGAGGATAAAGGTGAAAACGACTTTGGGTAGTGGATCCACACCACCATTGTGTCTCCATCTTGAAGTTGTCGTTAAAATAACCCCTGTGAGGAAATCAGGGAATTGCTTTCCTGTACTAATTAATTGTATACACTTATCGTACGTAGCATTCTTATATAGAACTCCTATAATATTTGTGAACTCTTGACAAACAGTTAAATCAAGATTGTTTTTTTAACACGGGCACGCTAGGAGTTAAATATTTTGTACGACTTCATAAAAAAAGTCGAGGGTAAGTCCTTTGCATATTTATCAAATTATTTTGGATAATTGTTTAAGATCAGAAGGGGTTTTGTGGATATTATAGTAATTTCAGCGGTTAAGACCATGAGTCAGTTGAAGCTAGACCATCATGGAAAACCTGGAATCACTGGATGGCGGTTTCGTCCTATTGTGGGACTCCTCAGCAGTGCGCATTCACGATCTCGCCCCCCCCGCGAGATTCGAACCCAGGACCTATCAGTCTCATGCGAGAGCGCTTAACCACTAGACCACCGAGCGATGCGATTTCTACAGACAAGTGACTATCCGGTCCATACATTTAACCAAATTTACACTTTGTAATTAAAAAGCACTGCATATTAGTTTCCTCCTTTTTGGGGTTAAATCAAAAGAACAAGAAATATTCGAATATTGAAATATTTTGCTGTAAAATTTGGCAAACGTATACAAGAAAATAAATTATGAACATATGGAAATTACTAACAAATTAAGCGATAATACAAGCAAGAAATTTATCACAGGTATTGATGCATAGCTGTTATATACCATGTTCCGGAATTAGTTTCTCGAAGGACAAATAAAACTTTGTGTAAGAGTGGTCAGTTTCAATCTGAAGATTTAGAAAAGTTGAAAATCAAAGTATTTAGTTTGCAAAAGTAAAAGAGTTGCATCGTAACCTAGCTATATGTTCGTACATTGAGCTATGAGCCGCAAATATTTTTTTGTAGCTAGTAATAATTAGTCAACTCTATATTTCTTAAAATCAGTGAAAAAGCTTTCGATTAAAAAAACATTTCGAGATCACAATTTGCCACCTTTATTAAGACCCAAAATACACGAGTTAGCAAACAGTTAACTGTTATTTTGAAAAAATAGGTTAGTTCGGAGATTATTTTTCGTTGAACCAAGATCAGTTAGAGTTATTATAAACTAAGGAGCACTAGTTAGCTGTTTTTTCCGAGTTAAGGACTCTTCTATAGTACGCACCCCAAGAAATCCAGCTTCCATGCATTTAGGTGAACAAATAGTTTTGATATGATTAATGAGCCTTTACATATTAGATTATTTGATAGAATGCACGAAGAAAGTTTGTAGTTGTGACCAGTAGTTAGAAGATACTGTTTATCAACAGAACACCTTAGCCTTACCTCAACTAGGCTCAAAAGCAGATATTTCTTGTAAATTGGCTTACACACGATGTTACTTTCACTATACAGAGCGAGACTAATTTATGGACGAGCCAATCAGAAGCATTTTAGAGATTTCAAGCTTACGGCGCCAACTTCAGTGCTTAATGTTAACGTACGATGGGTTCAAAAGGAATTTTGTACAAAACAGCAGGACTATAATTTGTGGACGAACCAACCAGGTATGAATTAACAGATCTCGGATTTTGGTGCGAAAGTCTTTCATCCATTTGGCTATATAGATTTCTTGCATTATAGCTGATGTCAGTTCGGGATGAAAATCCCATCTATAATTCCTAACTAAGGCAAATTATGACAATTATCGTGAACTGGATAATAAAAGCACCAGTAACACGGACTGCAGCCGGGTACTACAATATATACGGATGCTTGGAGAGCGTACAAACTCATACATAGGCTTGGTTATGTGCATCTTGTCGTTATCCACAAATAGCATTTTGTGTACTCAACAACCGGAGTGCACATAAACCTTGACAAGTTTTTGAACCACATATAAGAAGTGTATCCACTTTATTTCCTTGGTTTTTTATAATATATTTTTACTCTATACTTACTGTTTTCTGATTGGTTAATATTTCTCAAGGTCACTCAAGATTCGTTCAAAGGTCATGCATAAATTCGAGTCTCGCCCTATACAGTTGACTAAGAGATGCTTTTATTAACTTTAGGAAGTAAACATAGACAATTTTCATTTGGTACATAGTAAACAAAAGCTAACTTTCATCAGGTTCGTAACTTTGCGTCAAAATCTAAGATGCACTGTCGTTCGCCAGCAAGATACTTTTACCTAGAATGCTCATCGTCGGTGCGACCTTTTTGGCTTCTTCAAAAAGTATCATAAACAAAGTTCTCAGAAATCTATATTATATATAATTTAGATTTTCAATTTGTTGATTCAAGAGTTGAAAGAAAACGGGATTTATAGCTTTAATAACAAGCTTGGAATTTGTAGCATTTCAGTTTTTGTTAAACTTTAGTTTCAACACTTGTTTCCACATTTCGAACAGCTCTTTTGAACTATTATTCAAAATCACTGAGGATTAACACGATATGCTAAAGATGATAACATCTGAAGTTAATACCAAACAGTGACAAGGTTTGAGTGGATCAATGCCAGATAGCTCATTGTCTGTGAGATACGATTTCTAATACATTAGAATTAGAAAAAGTATAAAGCTAATATAATATAGTTACCTAAAACAAAATGTTATCATTTTTTGTGGACGACTGGGTAGGATTATCTACTTTGATTTCATCCGAGTGTAATATGACCATATCATCATGAAAACAATTAGTCTTAACGGGTCGGCATATTGAACATGACCAAAAATGAACCACAGATGCAGGTGTATCAGTTTTACACTGGAATCCCCTCAAACATCTTTCATGAAAAGCATGATGGCAACTGAAGAATAAAAGAAATAAGATAATCTACCGAAATTAAGATTCAGTTAAATAATGAAGTGATAAGAGAAGAAAAATTAGTTGTTTGAATAACTTACTAAAGTAGCAAACAGCTAAATCAATAGTTTAACTCAGCCTGGACGCCACTAGGGTTACCACTTGTCCCAAGCCCGTATGAATGAAGTGGGTCAGGTGTAAAGTTAGCAGCGTATTTCGCCCAAAATACGCTGACTATATTAGACGAATTACTTAATTTTAACTCTTGAATGAAAATTGAAGGGTCTAAATATAGAAAACTTATGAAACCTCATGGTATAGCCGAGATTACTCGAAAGCCACAAGATCTACGAGCATCCAGATAACCAGAGCAACAAACAATGAAGGTGTACATGGTGTCTGGGCAATGTGGGAGACTGGAAGGCTCAAGTAGTTTAAGAAATGAAAAGATACACCTTGGAGGTTCCCGCAAAAAGTGAAACCCGCTGGACTCAAGGTGAACAGAAATAAATAACTTTGGGAGAGATACTGTTGTACCTTGGTCACAAAGAAGGAAGTGATTCGTACACAAAAGACGCTGCACTAATGCTCTGCAAAGAAGTGTGGAAATTGCTTATAGGATGGGAATCTCATAGATCATCAAAGCATCCTGCAAAACAAGGAGGAGATAAAAATTAATATCATTCAGTGCTGTGTGCTCACCAAAGATCATATCAACCGTGGCGAAGCAGAAATGTACTTGATAACTAGGTGGAATAGTATACTTTTCTAAGGATGGGCGTTCCGAGAGAGCGAAATCAATTATCTGTGGGTCCTCTGTGCCCACCAATCCGGTTTTGGCGCCGGACATTCGCTTTTCGTTCTCTCAATTTCGTAAACAACGCCCCCTCCACAAGGCGATGAGTGGGACTTCTTTAGAAGTAGTTATGTAATTATAAGGAATTTAAATTGCGCACGATTATGAGCGTCTGTCGGTTTCATTCCTTGTCAGTTGTCTCCAAACAATGCTTTCACCTTCCAACAAGTTCTTCGTTCTTTTGGGTAATTACAACCAATAGTCACTAATTTTGTGGATTTGTGCCGTATTGTAATCTGAATACCGTCACTTATTTCTAAGCGTATGGGTTTTGAAAGCGACTTATTTGGTTGGTTTTTCCCATTAATCTCTTTTTAGTCTAGAATGGAACGCGTATATATAAAGTTATTGACTCAACGTTTTTCACGGCAACCATATGATGCTTCAAAAGCAACAATGATCGTCTCATCTAATTTAACTTAAATGGATGCATCTTAGTAATAGAATGAAGTGTTAAATTGTTCACCCACCATTTGTAAGGGTATTCGTTTTCTCATAAGGATTCTTTAGGTAATTGACTGTTTTAAAACGTATTTAAATACTTCTGAAATGCTAGACAATAATAAAATTTATTTATAATTATTTTGTTACAGAACTGTGGTACATTCATGAATCTGTTCTCGATGATTATCTACGCACACTGCCCAAAAGTAAACTCAATGTATTTGATGCTGTTCATGCACGTGAGGATGTTAAACCTGGATTGATTGAAGGTGGTTTTACTCTGTGGGATGGCAGCAAGGATCTCGTCAATCACATATCAAAATATTTTTCGGAAAAAATGTGTGGAAAAAACGTCTTGGAGTTAGGTTGCGGTTGTGGACTACCAGGTATATTCGCTGTAAAGGCTGGTGCCCGCTTAGTTAGGTTCCAAGTAAGCGGGTAGTTTTAACTCAGCGTTGCGTTAGCGTAGTATTATAGCCTTATCTTGATAAGAAATATTTGTTCGAGTTGCGTAACGTCCTCGGGTTACGATTTAAATATTGAATGAAAGCATTTTATCATAGTAGTTTTGAAGTTTATTTCCGAAAGTGTCTAGATAAATTATATTTGATCATTTAACATAAATGCTCACTAACATCTTAAAGGTCAAAAGAAATGGTAAAGTTCCATAGAAAGTCTGCATGTGCTGAATGTTTTTTGAAGAGTTTGCCACACTACCACGTTTTCTCACCAGTATTTTTACTATTTTTTTTAAGGATTACAACTCCGAAGTTTTAAAATGCTGGACCATTCCTAACGTCATCATTAATTCAGGATCTCAAAACGATGCTGATAGCCACAATGAACACACTCAGTTGGAATTCTACAGCGGGGACTGGTTTCATCTTTCAAAGCTTTGGCAGTCAAGCGCCAACGTAAAGTTTGACTATATCTTTACTAGTGAAACAATTTACCGCGCAGATCTATATGAAAGATTGCACAACATACTTGAAACTAGTCTATGTCAATCTGGGATCGTTTTGTTAGCTTGTAAAGCTTCTTACGGACCTGGAGGTAACATTTCTGACTGGTTAACTTATGTCGAGAATCTAGGCGTGTTTCAGACAACTATTTTTAAATTGACAACTTCTGGGGTAATGCGATACATCGTGGAAATGATCAGAGCTTAATTTGTTTCGACCAACTTGTTTTGTGTATTCTTTTTGTTCCGACTTGATAAATAAGATAGTAGTTGATCGTAACTTCTAGCTGTCCAAATCGTTTGGCTAGCCTAGTGTCACGAAATATTGAATGGCATCTTTAATATTTCTTTAGTGGGTTTTATATTCGACGAAGATCACGACATAAATACACCATTTGTTACGGTTTCATCTGTTAATAATATTACGTTTCGTAAACGTAATATTTCGTGTAAATTAAAACTTTAAATCTAGTTTTCACAAATACGTCCAGATCGCAGCTATATTAGTAATATTCAAACTAAACTGACAAACCTAAAAATAAGTACCAACTCTACTTAAATTACTTTCATCAGTATAACTTCACTTAAGTGATATTAAAGAGTTATGTCGGACATTGTAGTGTTCAGTATGTAACAGATGCAACGAGTTGTGCACCCAAACAAAATTAGCGAATTGTAGGTCAAACTTACCTGCTTGTTTTTGAGTCACATTTTGGGCATAAGTTTGTCTATATAACAGCTAAGTTTCTACTATCATGATGTTGAGTAATATCAAAGTTGATAAATCACAGCAGCAACCTGTACGATTAACTTTTTAAGCGATAGACAGAAAATGGTATAACGTTTGGAATGCAATGGATTTCGCTATGCTCTGATAATCTCTATTTTATTTGACTTTGTAAAAAATCTTGATTCTGTGTAAACTGCCGGAATCCTAGCTTCTTCCAAGTTAACTTATTTATCGAATGAAGTGTTTTACATCTGAGCACAATTATTTGTCTGCTTGCTTAACGTCGATAAATAGTCTGAAAACTGTTGAGTGTTTTGTGCAAAAACAGTTATAGCTCCATAAGTTCAAAATTATGTTAGGTAAAAATATAAATTATCGTTAACTAAAGCTATCCGTTGATTTGGACTTTCTAGTCTAAAACCTGCAAACTGAAATGTATGATTGTAAATATCTTTCGATTCGTTTAAATTCAGTTGTCATAATCCACACAAACGTCTACCATGTAAATCATACAAACCCATGTATATATCTGTTTAAAATATACAATTAATTTTTTTTGTGAAAACTTATTCTAATTGACGCTTATTTTGTATTATGATGTGGTTACGTACAAGTACAAAGTTATTATTACTTACAACCACTTAAACTTCTAATCTTGCTAAACATATAGATAGTTTTTCAGTGCACTTCAATTACTCATATCGATTAAAGTTGTAAACATATTGGTAGAAACCAATTCATCTTCAACCGGTCTGATATTTTCTCATATATGTCTTCCACCTCGAGCATTTTCTATGCATTAAGGTCGTATATATAATGCCGCCAAAAATTTAGCATGTAACAAAAAGTTCTGTAGTTGTTACAACCTACGAACTGTATATTTGCAGATTCATAAATATTTTATTTGGTGGCTGTATGCAAGCAGATATATAAGCAGGCGATAAAGCCCGAAATACATATAATATCGCGGATTGTATTCGTAACCAGCTGGTTAACCTGTGCAACAACACCAGGTTAATAACGACATATTTATAACCTGATATGATTGATGTTTGCAATTGCAACAGATCGCGCAAATCGTTAATTATTAAACTGAACTGGATTGAAGATATAACTTTAATCCCGATTTCGGTAGTTTTATTAAGGTATAGATATATTTCAGTAAATCCAGAATGACTGGCTACGAGCATTCCATCAAATGACATATTAAATATAGTTTTTCTTAGAACATTATATTTGTTATTTGTTGTAAAGAAATTATTAACAGATAATGTTTGTAAAAAGAACGTGATATACTGTTTATCACGACTACGTGTTATTTACCAATCTCTGTCGTCAGTAATAATTTTGTCGTGTAGATATTGTTTGAGGTTACTAAAAGAGCTTAGGACTTATCAGTAGCGACGGAGAAAAACACAATGAACATTTCTTTTGAACAGTTCGAAGCCTACATAGAGCATCAAGAGAAGCAGTTTGAAAGGTCTCAAATAAGAATCGTAGAAATCGTACAGATGTGTCTGCCTCAGCAAAACCCCTCTTCTGGTGAGTTTGAAATTTACAAGTTTCCACCACGCGAAGTTAACGCAATGACAGCGGTAAGCCATCATTCTCATGTTGGTTGTGGCGGTTAGCACTTCAAAAGATTTTTCCTTTTTCGAAATCATTATTGTACTACATGTTCCAGAGAAGGTCATTGATAAGTCTTTCAACTGAACGCTTCTAATGACTCCGGGCTAAATCTACACGGCAGGTTGATGGCCGGTGATAAGGATTTAGTTAACTCCCAAAATAAATCAGTGATTTAAAAACATACTACACTTTATTTGATTTCTTTACGGTTAGATTAACAGACAGTAACTTACTGTGTAAGTATATATCATATTATTCAATTAAGCAACTATAATCCTTCTTAAACTGTTGTTCAATCCATATCACGCACGATTGGAAAATAGTAATTTTCATGTGCCTTTACCATTCCAATCGATGAAGTTATTACTTACTGTGTCGATCATAAAGCGAGTCATTTAAAAGCCAGAAAACGCCACTAACAACCGAAAGCATATTCTAGAGGATTCAAATTGCGAACGACCAGTGTAATAATTACCCTTAGCCGGACTGGTTCATATAACCGTAGAAAATGTTTCTCTCAAGATTAATGGGTATGATGCCCGTATACGTCTTCTAACATCTCGCGTATAAGCAGAAGGACATAAGAGTTTTGTTAGACCTCAAATATATGCAACTCAGCAGTCAGCCCACAGTGCATCTGACGGAAAGCTAACTGTTGTTGGAGAATTACATTACAGTCATTGAGAAGAACATAACAGAAGAGAGCATGTTGTATATCACTGAACACCTTGGGACTTGATTGGATCAAGAAACTAAAATCAACAGATCGTCCCATAAACCAAATCTGCAGTTATATAGAGACAATGAGAGACGACCACAAAACCTATCTGGTATACTATTGAGCAAAAAGTAATTGATGACGGTCCTGGAGTGTAAAAAGTCGAAAGCTATTCCTACCTCTCGGTTTGAAACGAATTCATTATTCCGATCTCAGAGACCTGTACCTTATGCTCTTCTCCCGGTAGTTGAGCAAGAACTCGGACCACTTCAGGATGAGTATCATTGGACCAGTGAACTTCTCAGATTGGACTGCGCCGATAGTGGTAGTTAAGATATCCAACGGTAGCGGTCGCTCATATGCTTATTACTCCACTAGGTCAAATAAAGTTCTAGAAACTTACCAGTATCATTTATTCTTGCCCGAAGATCTCCTCACCAAGTTGTACGCTGGTGTTTTTTGGAAAGTGGAATTTCTTAGGAGCTGATGAGTGTAAAGATCTCATTATCAATACACACAAGGGTCTATTCTAATATAACCGATTGGCCTTTGGAGTCAAGACGAAAGTCGCTATATTCTAACAAATTATGGATACTATGTTACAGGGTATTTCAGGAGTGGAAGCTTATTTGGATGACATCATAATGGAACTACAAAAGAAACTTGACCTGGTGCTATCACACATCTGGATATGGTTTTCGTATCGGTGCAGGAAAGTGACTTTTATATGCAAAAGTTACAATATCTCGGCCTCATAATAGATAAAGGACGACGACCAGATCAAGAAAATATTGATGCTATAAAAACCATGCCCAGACCAACTGATATGCCTACTCTGCGATTTTTCTTTGGACTGGTTAACCATTACGGGACTTTTCTTCTTAATCTTCATTGAGTCACCTGCTGGTAGAGAACTCAAACCCACAAACTTCAAAGCAGCTTTCGAGAAAATTAAGCAACCCCTAGCCTTCATATTCCTTCGTACACATTATGACTCCTTACGTATTGTGGATGCTCAAAATTATGGTATTGGGACACTCATCTTTTATATTTTTCCGACAGATCTGAAAAAGTAATCTATCCAGTCAAACTATTAACAACGACAAAGCGCAACTATAGCCTAATTGAGAGATCATAAACCATTACTAGCCATATTTGGGTCAATGAAAGGGTTTGCTACCTATACGACTAATCAGCTACAACCATACTTTTGGGCAACGATATCAAGATCAAGTATCAACCTAATACAGCTTCCGGGCAGTGATGACTTTCGAGATTAATAGGTAAAACCTGGGAAAGAAGTTCGTCGCTCATTGGATGATGAAGCTGATGGAATAACGTTTACTCTCAAAGGTATCAAAGAAACTATTGGAAATGGCTAGACATTAAGAAAAGTCAAGGGTTTTCTCTTTATTAGATGGCCAAACCACCGCTTTCACTAATGGTTGTCGACTCATATGTCATGTTCGATGAACGGATTTTTCCAGAATTACCGCGCCAAAAAGTGCTCAAGCAACTTCATAGTGGTCATCCTGGAATCAATAAAATAAAATAGTTGGCTCAAAGCTACGCCTTGTAAGCATCAATGGACAGAGATATCGAAGACAAATGCCATAATTGTCCATCTCTCCTGCAAGCCGTTAAAAACACATCGAAAACTGACCTAAGCCTGCTAGACTCTGGGAAAGACATTATGCAGATTTTGCAGATCCAGTGCTAGGAAAAATTTTTTTAGTTATTGTGGGTGTATTTACAAAATGGCCCGAAATATGTGTCATGTCGAAGTATATAGGCAAGGGAACGATCATCAAGTTGTCTAGTCTGTTCAGCTATTTCGGAGTTTCAGATACTTTGGTGACAGGTGATGACTCTCGATTCACCTCTGACTTGTCCGGACAATTCTGTGATGTGAAGGGATAACTCACCTATTCTTTCTACCCTATCATCATCAATCTAACGGACAAGAAGAGCGCTTCATAGACACTTTCAATAAAGCACTGCTTAAGGGAAGAAAGAAAACGCCGAGTTAGGCAACCAATATGTTCTTAATATCAAAGAGAACTGCCCCCAACTCTTGTGCCAGATGGGAAGTCATATTTAGTAGAAGCACCTGGACGATTTCTAATGCTATGCTACAGCCAAAAAACATGGGTGACCACAGAAAAAATAGTTATAGTCGCATCCTTGACGCGGAGAGAAGAGTATTTATCAAGTCGGACCATGGCCAAAATCGATGGGAACCAGGGATTATTGTGCTGAAATTGGGTAGTTTTGTATAAGGTTGGAGGAGCCTTTTGAACATCTATTAGGCATACGAACCAGGTCCATAAAGATAAAAGAACGACAAACACTAGAGGTGGTCAAACGGATCTGCCACTGGATATACTTTTGGACACTTGCAAGGTGAGATCGTTGAATGAAAACGCAAGGAACATACTAAGAGAAGGACGATGCTGCTGCAGATCAGTCATCAGACTACAGGTAAACGCGAGGAGTCATGCTTTTCAGCGATGTTGGAGGGGTCCCAAACATATCCCTCGATAAGGCCATAGAGGCACAAAAAACTTATTACCCAATCAGCGTTAAAAAGACTTCGCAGAAAGATCTAGAAAACACAGAATCACTTGCCACGGTTTTGATTCTATAATTACCTATGAGGCTACTATAGTTAGTATGGTTCCGGAAGCTCAAGAGCATTTGAAATAGAATGAATACCCTCATTTTTCTGTACCTTAGGAGTAAAACGTTCTCTCTACACTTCACGCCTTTTTTGTCGTGTTCAAGTTGCCGTGCAGAATTAGCCTGGGTTTATTAGAAGAGCTTAGGAAATTGATTCTGGCATTCAGTTAGAAGACTAATCAGAAATAAGCACTGAAAATAAAAGTAAATCAGTCTTCAAAGTTGTGATATTGTTTGGAATAAGGTCTAGTTCGTTTTTATCAGAAACCACTCACATTAAGAAAAATAATTTCGATCAACATGTCAAACGAAAACAATCATTTGTAAGTCATGATTTGACAGTGAATACGAGTATATTGAACGGAGGATAAAGGTGAAAACGACTTTGGGTAGTGGATCCACACCACCATTGTGTCTCCATCTTGAAGTTGTCGTTAAAATAACCCCTGTGAGGAAATCAGGGAATTGCTTTCCTGTACTAATTAATTGTATACACTTATCGTACGTAGCATTCTTATATAGAACTCCTATAATATTTGTGAACTCTTGACAAACAGTTAAATCAAGATTGTTTTTTTAACACGGGCACGCTAGGAGTTAAATATTTTGTACGACTTCATAAAAAAAGTCGAGGGTAAGTCCTTTGCATATTTATCAAATTATTTTGGATAATTGTTTAAGATCAGAAGGGGTTTTGTGGATATTATAGTAATTTCAGCGGTTAAGACCATGAGTCAGTTGAAGCTAGACCATCATGGAAAACCTGGAATCACTGGATGGCGGTTTCGTCCTATTGTGGGACTCCTCAGCAGTGCGCATTCACGATCTCGCCCCCCCCGCGAGATTCGAACCCAGGACCTATCAGTCTCATGCGAGAGCGCTTAACCACTAGACCACCGAGCGATGCGATTTCTACAGACAAGTGACTATCCGGTCCATACATTTAACCAAATTTACACTTTGTAATTAAAAAGCACTGCATATTAGTTTCCTCCTTTTTGGGGTTAAATCAAAAGAACAAGAAATATTCGAATATTGAAATATTTTGCTGTAAAATTTGGCAAACGTATACAAGAAAATAAATTATGAACATATGGAAATTACTAACAAATTAAGCGATAATACAAGCAAGAAATTTATCACAGGTATTGATGCATAGCTGTTATATACCATGTTCCGGAATTAGTTTCTCGAAGGACAAATAAAACTTTGTGTAAGAGTGGTCAGTTTCAATCTGAAGATTTAGAAAAGTTGAAAATCAAAGTATTTAGTTTGCAAAAGTAAAAGAGTTGCATCGTAACCTAGCTATATGTTCGTACATTGAGCTATGAGCCGCAAATATTTTTTTGTAGCTAGTAATAATTAGTCAACTCTATATTTCTTAAAATCAGTGAAAAAGCTTTCGATTAAAAAAACATTTCGAGATCACAATTTGCCACCTTTATTAAGACCCAAAATACACGAGTTAGCAAACAGTTAACTGTTATTTTGAAAAAATAGGTTAGTTCGGAGATTATTTTTCGTTGAACCAAGATCAGTTAGAGTTATTATAAACTAAGGAGCACTAGTTAGCTGTTTTTTCCGAGTTAAGGACTCTTCTATAGTACGCACCCCAAGAAATCCAGCTTCCATGCATTTAGGTGAACAAATAGTTTTGATATGATTAATGAGCCTTTACATATTAGATTATTTGATAGAATGCACGAAGAAAGTTTGTAGTTGTGACCAGTAGTTAGAAGATACTGTTTATCAACAGAACACCTTAGCCTTACCTCAACTAGGCTCAAAAGCAGATATTTCTTGTAAATTGGCTTACACACGATGTTACTTTCACTATACAGAGCGAGACTAATTTATGGACGAGCCAATCAGAAGCATTTTAGAGATTTCAAGCTTACGGCGCCAACTTCAGTGCTTAATGTTAACGTACGATGGGTTCAAAAGGAATTTTGTACAAAACAGCAGGACTATAATTTGTGGACGAACCAACCAGGTATGAATTAACAGATCTCGGATTTTGGTGCGAAAGTCTTTCATCCATTTGGCTATATAGATTTCTTGCATTATAGCTGATGTCAGTTCGGGATGAAAATCCCATCTATAATTCCTAACTAAGGCAAATTATGACAATTATCGTGAACTGGATAATAAAAGCACCAGTAACACGGACTGCAGCCGGGTACTACAATATATACGGATGCTTGGAGAGCGTACAAACTCATACATAGGCTTGGTTATGTGCATCTTGTCGTTATCCACAAATAGCATTTTGTGTACTCAACAACCGGAGTGCACATAAACCTTGACAAGTTTTTGAACCACATATAAGAAGTGTATCCACTTTATTTCCTTGGTTTTTTATAATATATTTTTACTCTATACTTACTGTTTTCTGATTGGTTAATATTTCTCAAGGTCACTCAAGATTCGTTCAAAGGTCATGCATAAATTCGAGTCTCGCCCTATACAGTTGACTAAGAGATGCTTTTATTAACTTTAGGAAGTAAACATAGACAATTTTCATTTGGTACATAGTAAACAAAAGCTAACTTTCATCAGGTTCGTAACTTTGCGTCAAAATCTAAGATGCACTGTCGTTCGCCAGCAAGATACTTTTACCTAGAATGCTCATCGTCGGTGCGACCTTTTCGGCTTCTTCAAAAAGTATCATAAACAAAGTTCTCAGAAATCTATATTATATATAATTTAGATTTTCAATTTGTTGATTCAAGAGTTGAAAGAAAACGGGATTTATAGCTTTAATAACAAGCTTGGAATTTGTAGCATTTCAGTTTTTGTTAAACTTTAGTTTCAACACTTGTTTCCACATTTCGAACAGCTCTTTTGAACTATTATTCAAAATCACTGAGGATTAACACGATATGCTAAAGATGATAACATCTGAAGTTAATACCAAACAGTGACAAGGTTTGAGTGGATCAATGCCAGATAGCTCATTGTCTGTGAGATACGATTTCTAATACATTAGAATTAGAAAAAGTATAAAGCTAATATAATATAGTTACCTAAAACAAAATGTTATCATTTTTTGTGGACGACTGGGTAGGATTATCTACTTTGATTTCATCCGAGTGTAATATGACCATATCATCATGAAAACAATTAGTCTTAACGGGTCGGCATATTGAACATGACCAAAAATGAACCACAGATGCAGGTGTATCAGTTTTACACTGGAATCCCCTCAAACATCTTTCATGAAAAGCATGATGGCAACTGAAGAATAAAAGAAATAAGATAATCTACCGAAATTAAGATTCAGTTAAATAATGAAGTGATAAGAGAAGAAAAATTAGTTGTTTGAATAACTTACTAAAGTAGCAAACAGCTAAATCAATAGTTTAACTCAGCCTGGACGCCACTAGGGTTACCACTTGTCCCAAGCCCGTATGAATGAAGTGGGTCAGGTGTAAAGTTAGCAGCGTATTTCGCCCAAAATACGCTGACTATATTAGACGAATTACTTAATTTTAACTCTTGAATGAAAATTGAAGGGTCTAAATATAGAAAACTTATGAAACCTCATGGTATAGCCGAGATTACTCGAAAGCCACAAGATCTACGAGCATCCAGATAACCAGAGCAACAAACAATGAAGGTGTACATGGTGTCTGGGCAATGTGGGAGACTGGAAGGCTCAAGTAGTTTAAGAAATGAAAAGATACACCTTGGAGGTTCCCGCAAAAAGTGAAACCCGCTGGACTCAAGGTGAACAGAAATAAATAACTTTGGGAGAGATACTGTTGTACCTTGGTCACAAAGAAGGAAGTGATTCGTACACAAAAGACGCTGCACTAATGCTCTGCAAAGAAGTGTGGAAATTGCTTATAGGATGGGAATCTCATAGATCATCAAAGCATCCTGCAAAACAAGGAGGAGATAAAAATTAATATCATTCAGTGCTGTGTGCTCACCAAAGATGACAGCCCAAATAATAAAGGTTAGTTTTATGGAGCTGCAGTTCATCCTACAGAAGTGCCTAGAATAGGACCAGACCATCCTGATAGGAGACTTAGACTCCAAAATGTCGGAATGGACAATACCGGGTATGAAGATATCATGGAACAACATGGACTGTGAAGAAACAACGATAATGGTGAGGGATTTGATTTCAACAACATGGTTATAAGTGGCACCATTCACTCCTACACATGTATACACAAGGCAGCATGGGTTTCACTGGACCACATTACAGAGAATCAGGTTGATAATAGTTGCACAATGAAAAACTCGGAAGATCCATGGGAGATGTGAAAACCAGGGGCTGACAGCTTCAGATCACCATCTGATTGTGACTGCCAAGATCAAACTGAAGCTAAAGAAGCACTAGACACCACCACTGAATTACCTACTTCTATGAATTCGGTGTTCATCTTGTTGTGCTAATGAGGTATGGCAACTTGGACCGCTGCACATATGTGCCTGGTCCTACGTTGTAGCTGACTGATTATAATGATTTAACAGAGCCTTTTAGGTATTATTACCAAGGTTTGATTTGATAATTTCGAATAAATTTAGCATAGGGTTGATTGTTATAACAGAGCCTTTATTTGGCATACTGACAAACTCAACGAATTCATGAGGCACCTACCGATCAATATAAATTAAAAAAAGCCATGATGACGTGCGTGATTTAATTGTTCGTTTGTTTGTTAGCAGATAGCACAGAACTTGTATCATAAGAAGTAAATGTACGTATGATATACAGCAAAAGACCGAATATCAACTTACTGAAATACTATTACACGTTTAGCACTCAAAGCTTTGTCATCATTACTCATCATACGTTTTGCTTCCCAATCTCGTCTAGTCAGTAAATTGTTTATTCGAAGGTCTAATCCACATATAGAGCAAATAAGGCTTCGGTTACTAAAACCACAATTGTACTCTTTAAATGTTCGGAGTTGTTTGACAGTTAACTCTTTTCCTGCTAATTGTTTGTTAAGTACCATCTGATTTGCCTCGAATTGACAAGCTGATATAAACTTCTTCACCAATAAATTAATTTTGGAGTTTACTGTAATTTCTGTTCCATTAATCTAAAAATATGGGATAAAATACGTACATGGAACAAGCTTTTCCCATGTGTTTTTTTAGAAATGGTCATTTACTACTGACTATTAGATCAGTCAGTGTAATATGAACAGACGAAATTAGGATTTTCAACTAAGATAAAAGAATGTAACGTTTAATAAAATTTTTGTTCGGAGCTTCAAGTAAAAATATGAAGGAAAAACATGCCTTACATATTGTTCAACTAGAACTCAAGATCAGGATGAACAAGAAGAAACGCTTTTGAAAAATCCTACATGTATGAGAGTAATTCTCATTTATATTATTATTAATATCAAATTTTGTATTCAGTGGTATCCATCTTAGAGAGTACAAACTATTCCGAGAGAATTTTCTGCTTCAACCATCGAACAGATACTAACGCATGTAAGAATGAAATGTCAAAGACTGAACCTTATGATATATATCTTCAATAGATGAATAAAGCATTTAGCATTAATGAAATCATTCAACTCGAAATCTAAGAAAGATATACAGGAGTAGAACGTCAATTATAGTCTGTATGATGTTCTGTTTGGTTTGAGTTTCACGTTTACTATCAATCATCAACCAGTTTTAGTAAATGTCATAATATTTATTCCTTAAAATATACTATTCTGACTACCTTTACACAATCTAGTTGACTATTGATCGAAGAAAATCTGTTTAGACGTACTCGAAATTAACGTCAGTATGAAATAATGTCAGTCTACATACCATAAACCGTAACTAACTACTAAATTATGTTGCTGAAGACAGAAAGGACGTACAAGCGTAAAATAACGTTTAAGACATAAACCATTTATGAACAAAATAACAGTGAAATATGATTTTAACCAAAGAGAGAATGGCAAACTTAGGAAATTTTACGATATATTTTTATACTGTCAGGTTGTACGATATAAAAGCAAGATATCTAATAGAATGTTTACTTACGTCCAAGATATGTGAAACGATTACAGTTGGCGGTAAATAAGTCATGACTAATGAGAAAGAATTATAGAATATATTACTCAATTGGGCGTTTAACACGGGATGATTTTGTACGAATTCACATTTCATTAGTAAATCAATCACACTAAACCATATACCCTATAAAAGGAAAAAAAAGAAGAATTACTGAGCAATGAAATTAAATGATAATTCGAAATAATTTGGGGCTTGGCGAGTTTTTAAGAGATGAAAAGACTTATAGATTGTGTATAGTTTGTACGATGTTGGTTTGGAAGTCAGGTGGTCTAATCTCAAATCCTCATTGTCGTTATAATGAAGACATCAACATGTAGTTAATGAACATGTAATCACCAATAAGAAAGTACCATCCCGCTTCCAATGTGAAAGGTAGTTTCAGTTTTCTTAGCATATATTATGTCCCATTTAGTGAGAATAGTCATACTATTTACAACTTCAACAGCTCCTACACATTTAACTTAAAAATGAGTTTGGTAACCCTGTATGAAGAGTCATGATAAGTGAGGATGGTTTATAATGGTAAACTGAAAAAGAAATACACTGGAACAGATGGCAAAAGAAAACAACTCATAAACAATGTTTTAAGCTATCATAAGCAATTAAAAACAGTGCATGGGATATGGTCTGTCATCCTGAATTTCACGTTACTATTTTAATTAACAGCGACGAGGTGGTATCGTGTTCACTGAAGGCTGTATCATATGAGTGCGGGGACATTTTGTGAAACAGTAGTTCAACGAGTTAGGAATTATTTCTAGTAAAAATTCAGATTATTTAAATTCTGTAAGATTAGAACAGCCGAAGATTATTCCAGACCCTCAAGTGAAATGCATTTGTTTTAGAACAAATGTCATGAAAACACATCTAAACTCACTTCGATTTCTGACTGATCATTAGTCTGTGCACACCTTCGTTGGCAGAAATTTACAAGACGTTGATTTGCTTGATGAACATTATCATACAGTTTTTGTAACACAGAGTTGATGACAGTTGCCGATCGGTCACCCGAGTTATGAAGGCTGACAGAGATAAAATCTGCAGAGGTTTTTCGAAGCTCACACTCCTCTTTTATTAGTTTTTGCCACGTTTCAGAAAATATCTAAAAAATAGGTGGAGGATTACAGAGCTTTTTCACTTTAAATATGATAACAGTACTTTATTGCAAGTGAAACTTAATAGTTGTTACTCTAATAAACTGTTTACTTACTGGTTCGACAATATGTGATTCGATAATGCCGTAACAGAATCGGTTTGGAACTCAGTATTTACTGTTAACTGCCCCTTCCATCACTGTTTAATAGGTAAATCTATAGGTTTAATCTAAAATAAACTTATTGATAAGTAGTATCGAATGTAAATTGACAGACTATTGTAAAATTTAACGTAGTTGAAGAATAAAAGGATTGTGGGTTCCTTCACATAATAAAACTATCCAAATTGCATTATTTTATGCTTATCTTTGGACGAAATTTAAGTTTGTAAGTCTAAGGAAACTTCAGCTTATTACGAATATACGCGACTACCGATGCAAGAAGAATTCACGTGGTATGTTCAGCAAACATAAATGCTGAAAACTGAAACAGCTAATATATGCTTGTATCTGTCATTTGTTAACGGTGAAGAAAATATAAGTAAATATATAAGTGTAAGTATATATAATGAGTACAAAGAGCAGAAATCAAACCTGTTCATACAACTCTGTAGCTTTGAATAAATCTCCAGACTTTTCATATAGATAAGCAACCTCTCTTGGGTACTTTCCCACCGATAAAACCTGAAAAACCAAAGTTTACACAACAGGATTATATACACTTCATTTATTGAAGACAAGACAGAACACAGCATAAGTGAAAATACGTTTGATTTGCCAAACCTCATGTTATATCCTGGCAAAGATTACATTACAAGTAACTTCTGAGACCTATCAACGAACTAATATTATCTATATATCCTTACGGTATAACTATTCAGTAACTAGATTGTATATATCTATATTCCCCTTTTTCTAAGCTTTATTTTGACCTAAATATTATTATTATTATTCGATTTACTGTTCTCAAGCTATGTTCAGTTTATTGACTACTTCCTCCTACGTTCACAACCACTTTTTGGCTATATTTTGTACAAGTGTTATCTTCTATTTTATGGTGCGTTGCGGTCTGTTTGTTTGGTATATAAACCCAGTATGTCTGAAATGAATGATTCGCATAGTGGAGGCTGTTATTGGCATTTTAGACTCAGCTGGACGGGCTAGGCGAGCAACGGACCAATAGGCTGATCCGACCGGTCGAACGTCATTGATTTAGTACAGTATAGGGGTGAATAAGTCGTATTTTGATTGGCGAATTGATTACGTGATAACAAGCGACTCATAAAGTCACAACACCTCACATTAATACAGCGACGGGAAATCAAAACTAACAAACAATCCTCAAGACCTAGATGAATGCAAAAATAGAGTAGCGTCAATGAGACAACTGTCTCACAGACATTAAGAAGAAAGTTTAAACATAACTCGACAATAGTAAGGGTCAAAGACCACATCGAATGATGTCATGTATTTAGTTCGACTGGTAAGTTTTATTCAATTTATTACAACGCTATGAAACAGAGAATACTGAGGTAGGAAGAGAAAAACCATAAAGTCTCATAAATTCGTCAACTGATTCCCCACAATTACACTGCTACTTACAACTAACATCTAGAACGATTAGTCAGAGGTTCGACTATATTTGTAAATTGTTACACGGAAGACTGCTGTGAAACATGATCACCGAAATGGAAATTTCACTCAAGTTCAGTTTCTAAAAGCCAAACGAGTTTTACTTGAATGCGTTGAAATCTTTTAAACTATATATCAAGCTATCAGAACTGATGAGACTACAAATATAAGTGAGGTGTCCAACTCTCCCAATACTTATACTTCCATCATCATCGTCAAATTAATCAACGAAGTAGCTGAATTCTTAAGCAATTTTGAATTTAGGGAGTTGGTAACATATGACAAACATATACCGACAATCATGGTGATCAAACGACTTTGAATTTTGTTCGCATCCTTACCAAAAATACTGATGTCGACGTGCTCCATGCCAACCGTCAAATTTCATGGTAAGGAACACTTATATAAGTGAAATCATGTTACAACTGGATAAAAATGAAGCCGATGATGGGTTAACAACACTAGTTAAGGGACTGCTTAAAAGGTTGAGACACAATCCAGCTTTTCTTCAGACTACAATCTTTTGTACCATTACTACTGTAGTATTTAGGATATAGATAATAAGTTAATAGTATAAATTACTTGATAACCAATCCGGGTTTTTTCTTCATACTAAGTATGAGGGATTCACTTTATTTATTGAAGCGGTCATAATACTTTTGAAAAACATAATCTTAAGGTTTCGTCAAATGATAATCGATTGAAATGGATTTGTGAGGGGAAACTTGATAGAATCATATAAAATAAATACTAGAAATCATAATATCTACTTTCCAATTGTTTCTGGTCAAATGAGAAAATGCAAGTTTAAACGGAATTTTTTGAACAATATGACAGAAATCTGACATACAACAAGTATTTTATTTCCTTTTACGGCTAGTAGCTGAAGCAAATGCGACTAAAAACATACCTAAAATGCGATATAATAAGTGCCATCTAAGTATGAATGGACACACAAGGTAAGGAGGTTGAATTACAACAACTCCGTAACAATTAAGAATCATTACACTACCTACGCGTATTCAGGCATATGGGTGGTATTACTAACAATTAAACAAAATGTGTGTCTAATTTAAACATTTAATTTTATTCAAAACAAGCTTTTATTATAGTATGCATGAGTGTATGTATTCCTTAAGAAAATGAATGGACATTAAATTCATTAAATAGTCATACACAAACGATCGAGAAATTAACTCGTATTTTAGTTATTAGTAAATATGATTGGTAACTCCGCCTGGAGTCCCTTTCCGGGGGCTACCGCCGGTCCCAAGCCCGGATAAAGGAGGAGGGTTGAGCATGGGGTAGAAAACTAACTCTCTAAAAAAACGCTAACCAGAAAAAATTATTGAAACCATTTAAACTCTGCCCTGGGAGTCAGGAGGTCTTCGTTTAGAAGAATTATGACGCCTCATGATGAAAGCCGAGTTTCTTCGGAAGTCATGAAGCTGATGCCCCTTCTGACAACCAGATCAATCATTTATTTAGGTACATGGAATGCTCGCACAATGTGAGAGACTGGTAGAGTTTTCCAAATTGCTTCAGAAATGAAGAGATACAACCTGGAGGTGCTTGGAAACAGTGAAACACATTGGACACAGGTTGGACAACAACGACTAGCTTCAATGGAGCTGCTGTTATACTCCGGACATGAACAAGAAAATGCCCCACATACACAAGGAGTTGCCTTGATGCTGTCTAAACAAGCACAAAATGCACTTATAGGATGGGAATCTCATGGACCAAGGATCATCAAAGCCTCCTTCAAAACGAAGAAAAAGGGCATTACAATGAACGTCATCCAATGCTATGCGCCTACCAGCGACTACAAAGAAGACGATAAAGATCAATTCTACGATAGTCTGCAGTCAATCGTCGAGAAGTGTCCAACAAAGGACTTGAACATTCTGATGGGAGACCTAAATGCCAAGGTTTGAATTGACAACACCGGATATGAAAACATCATGGGACGACACGGACTGGGCGTAAGGAACGAAAATGGTGAGAGATTTGCAAATCTATGTGCCTTCAATAAACTGGTCATAGGCGGCACTATATTCCCACATAAACGCATACACAAAACCACATAGACTTCACCGGATCACACCACACAGAAACAAATCGACCATATCTGCATCAACAAAAAGTTCAGGAGGATGATGGAGGACGTGAGAACCAAGAGAGGAGCCGATATAGCATCAGATCATCACTTGCTGGTCGCCAAGATGAAATCGAAACTCAAGAAGCACTGGACAACGGGGAGGACAATATCACACGAGTTTGATACGGCTCTTCTTCGGAATAATGACAAACTCAACAAATTCAAGATAATCCTCAGCAATAAGACCCAGGCCTTTCATGATCTACTCAATGGAGAAGAAACTACTATGGAGAGCAACTGGTAAGAGATAAAAGAGGTAATCACTTCAACATGTCATGAGGTTCTGGGCCAAAAGAAGCACCATCACAAGGATTGGATCACGATCGATACACTGGATAAGATTCAAGAAAGGAGGAACGATTCCAATGAAGAAACAGGTATTGTGTATAATTTTTTTTGCTTTTGTTCTTTTTCACTTTAAGGCTGCAAAACGTGGCCATTAGGAGTAAAAGATTCTCGTAAGTTACTAGCATTTAATCACAAATGTCTTGGAAATATTGCTTGTATCTGCTGCGATCACCGGGTAAGTAATAGTGGGCTTAGACAAATGGTATTAGGGAATGATGGCAAATCAGATGATGAGGTTGTGAATCTTCATCTGCTGAGATGGATGAGCCACGTGTTGCGTATGCCTGAACATCGATTACCACGACGAGCGATCCCGACTAGTTTTGTGGGCGGTTGGAAAAACGTTAGGGGCAGCCAAACCAAAACGTTGTGCGTAGACGCACAACTTCGAGACCAACAGGCAGGATTCCGTAAGGATAGATCGCGTACAGACAAAATTGCAACTCTAAGGATCATTGTGGAACAATCAGTTGAATGGAATTCATCACTCTTCTTTAACTTCATTGACTACGAAAAAGCATTTGATGGCGTGGACAGAACAACCCTATGGAAGCTTCTTCGACACTACGGCGTGCCTCAGAAGATAGTCAATAACATACGGAATTCTTACGATGGATTAAACTGCTAAATCATTCATGGAGGACAGTTGACAAAGTCGTTCGAAGTAAAGACCGGTGTCAGGCAAGGTTGCTTACTCTCACCCTTTCTCTTTCTCCTGGTGATCGACTGGATCATGAAGACGTCAACATCTGAAGGGAAGCATGGGATACAGTGGACAGCTAGGATGCAATTGGATGATCTAGAATTCGCAGATGATCTGGCTCTTCTATCGCATACGCAACAACAAATGCAGGAGAAGACGACCGGTGTAGCTGCAGCCTCAGCAGCAATAGGCCTCAATATACACAAAGGGAAAAGCAAGATTCTCCGACACAACACAGCATGCACCAATCCAATCACAATTGACGGAGAAGCTTTGGAAGATGTAAAAACCTTTACATATTTGGGCAGTATCATTTATGAACACGGTGGATCTGATGCAGATGTGAAGGCACGGATTGACAAAGCAAGAGCAGCATATTTACAACTGAAGAACATCTGGAACTCAAAACAATTGCCAACCAACACCAAGGTCAGAATTTTCATTACAAATGTGAAGACAGTTCTACTGTATGGGGCCGAAACCTGGAAAACTACGAAATCCATCGTCCAAAAGATACAGGTGTTTATTAACAGTTGTCTACGCAAAATACTTCGGATCCGTTGGCCGGACACTATTAGCAACAACCTACTGTGGGAGAGAACAAATCAGATCCCAGTGGAGGAAGAAATCAGGAAGAAGCGCTGGAAGTGGATAGGACACACATTGAGGAAAGCACCCAACTGCGTCACAAGACAAGCCCTCACATGGAATCCTCAAGGTCGAAGGAGGAGAGAAAGACCAAAGAACACATTACGTCGGGAAATGGAGATAGATATGAGAAAAATGAACAAGAAATGGATGGGACTAGAAAAGAAGGTCCAGGACAGAGTGGGTTGGAGAATGCTGGTCGGCGTCCTATGCTCCATTGGGAGTAACAGGCGTAAGTAAGTAAGTAAGTATGATTGGTGAAGAATTAGAGTGTGAAATCGGTTAGTTGAAGATAGATGTGCATAAAATACAATAAAATTCATGAAGGAAACAAAAATGAATTAACATTCTGATGAAAAAGTAATCAATTGTCAGATAAACATACCTTCAGTACGTGTTCGATAGCATAGTCGTTGTATGATTCTAAGAAAGTTAACAATTCACCAGAAGATGGAAGCTCAAAATTAACTAGCAAATAAATAAATAATTCAGTTATTTTTGCATCATAGTTCTGAAGGAATTCTTTCCAGTTTTTGGTGGTTGAAGTTGTTTCATCATCTGAATCATCAGGCGTACATTCTTCAGAATTAGTCGTTTGATGATGATTATAAATAACCTTTCTAAAATATTTCGACAAGTAGTTGACATATAAGACATATGTTACGAAAAGAATTCACATCACTAAATATATAACCTAAAATCAAGTTATACATGCGCAACCATATTCAATTAATTCGCTTTCAATGAGAAATTATATTACATTCAATCGAGATGATTGTACCCAAGTCAATCAGTACACTGAAATGAATAAGAATGTTTTCAACTCGTTCGAAAAACATACGGCTCAGTTAGTTTTATACAACTTGAAACCTGCCTCAAATTTGCATCGTCATTAGTTGCCACAATTCATATCAGCGGACCGAAGGAGGAATTAAAGAGGGAGGTCGATAGAAAAGTAGAAATGATAGAATAGTGTTTGTAACACTAAAACTAATCACAGATTAATATTACTGAGTAGATTTTAACTTGGAATTTTGCATGTACCAACGCGGCTTGCGCCTAGAGTACAGGAAATCGAAAACGGATATAACATATGAGGATAATTACTAACGAAGTATACAACATTATATGTCGCAATTGAAGGCCTATAAAAGAGATGAGAATTAACAAATAGTTTACTCGTATAAGGGCCAGAAAAAAAATTGGAAAATAAAGTCAGTCATTTTGAGTAGTCAGCGAAATCAAAAAAGAAAGAACAAATACAATTAAATTATCAAAAGGGATAAACTTATTGAGTCGAGTGGAAAACATTATTTCTATTGCAATGAATTTAAAAGCGTTATGAAGAGAATGTTCGTCGTAATTTATCTAAAGGATAGAGTGAATATACTGAAAGTGATGTATGCTGTGCAATACACGAAATCATAAGCCTGAATAAGGCAAAATCTCAATGGGTTTTGATTAAGCCTTGGACTTTCAGTTCCGTTTAATATCAACTTCTAAAAAGAATTTCGATTGCTAACTCCTGATATACAGAGCAATGTCACCATTAGTACCTTCCAGATGTTTGAAATATAAAGGACTGTTTTGCTTTGGCTCGCCCTCCTTCTCGAAATGATCTCACACGGACACGCGTATACAGGGAAGTCCCACTCACTGCCTTCTCGTGGCCGGGGTGTTGTTTACGAAAATGAGAGGACGAAAAGCGAACGTCCGGCGCTTTAACCGGATCCCAAATCAATGGTGCACATGGGCTCCAGTATCCTAAAGGATCAAATTGCGTATGAACCGATTTCTTGGTCACCGGCTACCATGGGACTGCATCTCCTTACGATGCTCCACTGCCTTGTGGGTTAGACTTTTAGATCGGGGTGCGGCCCCCTAAGAAAACCACCTGCTTCGGTTTGGGCACCCGGGCAGTACATCAGCTCACACACAAATATAATGAAAATGATGATATTCTCTGAAAACTCTATTCTCGCTTCGATTTACAGTCAAACAATTCACATTATTATTATTACTTACTACGTCATTTATTCACTCTCTTTTATTCCCACTCTGTCTATCCTTATTTTTAGACTTATACAGCAGCTCGCCTATGGTGGAACTTCGGCTCTATCTAAATGTTCTCGAGTCACTGCCTGGTTGAAAATTGTATGCTAACCCCAAATACGAATACTGAAATTTTGTAGTACTAGCCAGAGACTTGAATGCTCAGGTCGGGCGTCTAGGCACGGAAGAGAGTCGGTTAGGTGGCCAATGGGGACTTATTGGTCGCAGGACAGATAACAGGGAACGTCTACTGCAACTATGCACAGACCACAACCTGTTTATGTATATGGGATAGTGTTTGTGTATACAAGTGAGTAGTTGAATGCTTGAATTAGAGCTTTTCACAAAGACATCATGAGGAAAACAAGTCATCTTGTTTAATTCATGCGAAAAATGCAGAGAGACGTTTGTTTGGTAACATACAGCTAACATAAGCTACTTGTTTACAATTGTATCGTTACAGTGTTAAATATTTAAAATATGATATTATTGCCATAAGCTATAACGAAGCCTGATATGAATCGTTCAGATAAATAGTAAATACGAATATATTATAGTAAATAGAATTAATTATGAATAAATTAACTGGAAGTTTATTTGTAATGAGAGATAGAAAAAAGACTGGATACTGTGTGCTAATTGAATTGTTAATTATTAGTGACCCAAATTACCGCTGGATATATACTACAATCACTGTTTTAGTATTCACTTTCTGAAGAAAAAACACTGTTTCAGGCATTTCGTTATGTAGTTAGCAAGTGCTATTTTATACAGAACTGTAGGATCGGGATTATGAGGAAATTAAGGTTTCTTAACATTCTATCTAATATTGAATTAATAAAATAATTCTCAACGAAACATAAGGTGTCCAAAATAAAAACCGGAATAGTTGTAGATTTTGCTAAGGTTATTCTATGATATGACTGTGAAGACAATTATAAGGGAAGTTTGTCATAAGTCAGCTTCAAAGAATGACAAAAATACGCAATTCAGTGATAGAGAATATGTCAAAGTAGAAAGGATTCAAGAACTTAAATTATACTTACACTAACTTTTGCTTGGATTAGGTATATGTAAACAGTTAAAATTATGTTCGATAATGGTTCTTCATAGTCATAGTACTATCGTTACATTTTGATAGTCCAATGTCTCAGTAAGATTTTATTTTTTTTTGGGGGGGGGGGAGTAATTTTATTCACTGTCCATTCCTCTTGTTTGATGTCTTTTTATTACATACCGACCTCAATTTACACAGTGATAGCAATATCTAGGCATATGGTATTATTATGGCAAAATGTTTCAAGTTCCTTGAGTGTCAGTCAGTCAGTAACAACGTGGAACTTCATATGTACGTACATCAGTTCGAGTTGCCATGCCACATGAGCACAGAGATTCAGTTATCGATTCAAATCCCGTAGTGGTAGAGGTAGTGAAAGTATAAGTAGTGATAGGGAACATCAGGGTTTGATGATGTTATTTAAGGAGTATAATCCAGTGTAATAGATTCGGAAAGAAAATAAAGTACATGAAGAATTCAGAAGATTAGAGTTTGAGGGTACACAAAGAGTGGATGCACTTGCGCCATTGCAAACGATTTTGAGCCATGTCATTCAAGGTCTCTAACCATCGGTTGCTATCGTCTCGCGGACCCCAACCAGGTGGTCTACACCTACCAACATGGCTCAGTCCACTTGTCAGTGGCTTCATGGATTTGTGCCATGTGAGTGACAAAATGACTAAATAATATAATGCACTAGATGGTCGAATTTGTTTTACTTGTTAAATGTTATAACTAGTTACTTACCGGCACTTGAAATACGCCCGTAAAATTAAATAAGCTGTACGTTGATTAGATGTTTTTTCCTTGACGTATGAATTGACTAACTCAAGCATTTCTGATATTGATGCATTTGTTAGGCCATATAAGACTTTTAATGTACGTTCTTCGTCCCAGTCAGCAAGTACCTACATAAATCACAATGCAGAATTCATTCAGAAACCGAATGATATTCTGATACTTTAATGTAGATTCATACTGCTTACGAAATCATTATCAAAAACCATATTTTATAACACAGTAATGAGTTAAAGAATCCGATTGACTTAGAAAACATCGATAATATTGGAATAATTGTTTCAAAAAATATACTAAATCAAGCGACTTTTATATCACTTTTCTAACGAACGATTCGTAGCTATTTTAAGTATATGTACATGTAGAATTTATAAGTCTCTGATTGTGAACGAAGACAAGAGAACAATATTTCGAGATTATTTGATCTTAGTAATGAATTCACAATTCGTAAGAGGATGTACACGTTCAAGTTAAATTGCAGTGTGACAAATTTGTTTGTACTGAATAAAGCGTCGAATTAATTAGTTTTTACAAAATTAGCAGCCACTCAATTGAGGGCTACTGCAGCTATTTCCGTAAAGACCGGTGTCAGGCAAGGTTGCTTACTCTCACCCTTTCTCTTTCTCCTGGTGATCGACTGGATCATGAAGACATCAACATCTGAAGGGAAGCATGGGATACAGTGGACAGCTAGGATGCAATTGGATGATCTAGAATTCGCAGATGATCTGGCTCTTCTATCGCATACGCAACAACAAATGCAGGAGAAGACGACCGGTGTAGCTGCAGCCTCAGCAGCAATAGGCCTCAATATACACAAAGGGAAAAGCAAGATTCTCCGACACAACACAGCATGCACCAATCCAATCACAATTGACGGAGAAGCTTTGGAAGATGTAAAAACCTTTACATATTTGGGCAGTATCATTTATGAACACGGTGGATCTGATGCAGATGTGAAGGCACGGATTGGCAAAGCAAGAGCAGCATATTTACAACTGGAGAATATCTGGGACTCAAAACAATTAGCAACCAACACCAAAGTCAGAATTTTCAATACAAATGTCAAGACAGTTCTACTGTATGGGGCCGAAACCTGGAAAACTACGAAATCCATCGTCCAAAAGATACAGGTGTTTATTAACAGTTGTCTACGCAAAATACTTCGGATCCGTTGGCCGGACACTATTAGCAACAACCTACTGTGGGAGAGAACAAATCAGATCCCAGTGGAGGAAGAAATCAGGAAGAAGCGCTGGAAGTGGATAGGACACACATTGAGGAAAGCACCCAACTGCGTCACAAGACAAGCCCTCATATGGAATCCTCAAGGTCGAAGGAAGAAAGGAAGACCAAAGAATACATTACGCCGAGAAATGGAGATAGATATGAGAAAAATGAACAAGAAATGGATGGGACTAGAAAAGAAGGTCCAGGACAGAGTGGGTTGGAGAATGCTGGTCGGCGGCCTATGCTCCATTGGGAGTAACAGGCGTAAGTAAGTAAGCAGCTATTTCCCGACTTATAACATTATTTCTCAGGAAATTAACTGTCAATGTGGTTTGATTCCGATTATATAAATTGCAGAATTCATCCTATCTAACTTTAGTTACGTTTTATTAAAATACATAAAATATGGAATTCACAATATTCACTAACGAAATGAATTACCTCGGCCTGTTCGAAACAAATCAATTTTAAATTGTCATAATTTTCGTCATCAACTAGAAATTCTTTGTTAATACGATCAATATTATGCTCCAAACATTGAAAAATGCAACTAGCTAATTTCACTGCATTATGATCTGAATGAATTGATGCATACGTGGAGTTATTATTAACTTTAGCGAGTATAATTCGTTTTAATAATAGTATTTGATACTTTAAAACAAGAAGTTCATTGCCACATGTTTGATGAATGTATTCACAAACTTTGTATCTACAATTATTATTTTCAAACAAAAAAAAACGATAAATGCAATATGTAATTTTTTAATTTTCATGAATAAAGATGATACGGAAGTAAATTTTGCAAAAAAAATGAAATGAATAGTTTAATTAAGTGTTTATTTAATTACGTATTAAGTATTGTCCAAGTAATAGACTAATATGCGAATAGGAACAAATTCAATGCAAATAAGAAATTTCACAATTATGTAACATACATACTTAAAATATAAAAATTAGTTAAATCGGATAATTAGAAAATAATTTCGAAATAGACTCAACTATTTTTAGTCATCATTGAAAAAAAAATTGAGAGAGAATAAAAATGAGAAGTTATTCCACAATATTTACAAGATGATATAAAATTAGGGGTATTGGTAGGGTAGATTTCCTTTTGTGAGTATTGTGGTTAAATGTCATCACTTTGACTGTTGTTTGTTTTGTAAACCAGAACTGACTAGAAATATTAGCTTTATATTTATTAGTCTTAATGTACTTAGATGTACATGTTTAGATCAGCAAAAATATAATTCAGTAGTGGGTTGTCAATTCATTGAATCTACCAGTGTAACCGAACTGATTTCGACTCAATTACATGATGGAAGTATTTCTGAATTGTATGAAAGTGGTGAACTGGACTACTAGCAAAAGACATACACACAGTCGATTTTACGAGTAGGCGCGAAATTCACTTCATCAGTTTATTTGTGGAAAAGTAAGAAAATGTACTTTGCGAAGATAGTAAGTATAAATGGAGTACCATATATCATTCAATAACTGAGTAAGACGAAGAACTAATTTGAGTACAGATTTTCAAATATATTATATGGAAATCATCTTAACTTTTCACAAGAAAAAGTTTAATTCTTTTTCAGTATTCAGAACTAGTGCTCTGAACGGTTGTTGGATAGAAATTCTATATCATTAAATTTATGAAAATAATCGAGGTTTATCTTGGTTAGTTTCTAACGGCTTAATGGCAGATGAAATAATAGGAGGCGAGTATTAAGAAGATTAAAACTTATATTTTGTGCAATTAGTACTCGTCAATAGTTCCTTTTAGATCGCAAATGTGCTTAGCTGTTCTTTTTTAAATTCTTGTGTTTTTATTTTTTATACAGCTGTGAATGCAAGCAAACAGGACCAATGAATTAGTTTAAAAGGTTTAATATAATTATATTAGCACTTTATAAAAGAACACCAAAGTGAGTAATTAACGCGATACAGTAAAAAGTGCACTTACAATCCTTTTTCAGAGCTCAAGGTAGCACATTGTTCCAAATGTTTTAATAGGCCTGATTCGATTGATTCAATCACAGCTAATTCGAATTCTGACAGAAGACTTCTACACAATTGATCATTTGAATCGCAAACACATTTAAATAGCTAGTAACACATAGAAACAAAACGAAATGCGAAATTCACCACAGAGAAAACTATAATGACAATGAGGTGCGGACTATACTTATGTTAAGGAGCAACACCGGAATCCATTTAACAGATACAAATGTATATATCATAAATAGACTGATGTACAACTAAAGCGACCATTTTTATTTTCTAAAATATGGAAACTAGATTTTATTACGTACAAGTTTTCTTTATTTGTTTATAATTCTCATCGACTAGCAAAACACACTCATCAAAGAATAATGATTGATGTTTAGTGAATACAGCCAGTTAACTAGTGATCAGCTAAAGGAAAGATTTCTGAAGTAGAGACTTTTTGTTTTATCCATCTAAAATTGTATTCAACGGTTTATTTTATATTGGTCGTAAGATACAACGTATCGGAGAAAGTTTTATGAAAAGCGAGGAAGCTGAATTTCAACAGTTAAATCAAAATAATGCAACAGACGATTGAAATTCTCCACAAAATTAGTCCAGTAATTGTAGTAGCGATTGACATATTTACTTCCATTTCATAGATATCAGTTTTTATAGGAAACAATTTGGATCATCATAATTGTTTGTTAGGTCATTATAGAGGAAAAAACACAAACTATGATATAACAATGAAAAACAATGTGTTGGAATATATGTCGATAATGTGATTAACAAGAATAGGGCATAGAATAGTACGACGTTACGCCGATTCGAATCACTGTACTTTAGAAAGTATAGAAAACTAACACGTAGAGTGAAAACACATGTCTATTTCTCGAAGATAAACGTATAAAAAGTGAATTACGATGCATTATCAGATTTTTTCAAATATGGCCAGAAGCTGTTTACTTGATCGAGGCAGTCCAAATGGTCAGTCATGATAAATTAATAGTATTACTCTAGTTTAAACATTTATTTTCATATTTACCATTCTAAAGAAATTCCCTAAATAACAATAACGTAGAAGTTCCAAGTATGGAACTGTTATATAAGTGCTAGCGTATTCGTATAGCTGAATGTGTAAGAGTATGGTAAAAGCATTTGTTCTTTAGGAAACTCATATTTTAGATGTTGACAACTTTCATAATAGATAGAAACTTCAATTGCCAGTGAGAAGTTACATTATGAGGAAGTTAGCTCACCAGAGCTTTTTATTAAATTTACATAATAACAAAGCTAATTTCTAGATTTTGATTTTAGGCAACAGTTATAAAAAGGCTGTTGAAAGGTGAACATTAGTATCTGTGATAGAGAATAAGTTTCATATAATTGATAATTTCTTATAACTGTTAAATGCTAATCAGTATGAGATATATTCACTTGATTTCTGAATATAATTAAGAGAAAATACAGTTAGTCTATTTGTGCTGCTTCACCAAGTGTTCGGGAAATGTTAAACACAATAAAGACAAGAGATTTACTAAGCTAAGCAACTTGACATTATTTCATGTCAAGTATTTTTAGAAATAGAGGTAAAACTCAACATATAGTAAACAAACACACACCTGATAAATAAGATTATGATCAATTTCGACTTCTTTACTATGAACCATGCTAATCTGACTTATAATGAAGATAAATACACGACAAGGAACGGATACATCATACGCCAAAAGTTGGCAATTAGAGTTTTCCAATTCTTTTGTTTGATACAGAGAGTCGGATTGAGAATCTTTATTGGATATAGGTGATGACGATGATGGTGAAAGTGATGTTAGAATAAGACAGTAGTAAAGCCGTTGACATCTTGATTGGCTATTGTAAGAATCATATAAAATTAATGATAACTGATTAAATACATCGTAGGAAGCTAAAAAATTCATGACAACAGTACACATACTAATAATTAATTAATCATGAGAAATATTGAGAAAAAACATTCGTGTTAATTCTTAAAGTTACTTGAATTTCTTAAGAAATCGAGTTTATTTTATGAATATCATCTAGTGTGTTTAATGTTTAATCTGGTGAGGGTGGACTCTGCTTTTGAATAAACAAACGATTCTTCATACAAAACACACTGTTGGGATTTCAAATCCATAATATAATAGAGTTACAACTTCAAAAATTGCAAGTGAATGAACTTAGAAAAAAAATGAGAGTTTGATAGTACTATGCATAAAATTGATTTATTATCACAAGATGAAATTTTTGATACAGTGCAGAAAATTGGATATTTGTATAAATAAAGGAACATCAAGTGAAAGTCGCTAAGTTAAAAAAAACTGCATTCGATGTCACTTGATGACAATGAATTAGCTTGAGTTGTTTCAAGAAACCTTAAATTAAATGCAAAAATACAAACAATCAACGTAGCACAAATTTTATACATGGTAAGTTATTGTTGAATAGTGATGTGAGAACTATGAAAATTCTCAGAATTCGGAAGTCTTAACTTGATAATAACAAACACGAGTGTGATTCAAAGATGTAAGAATAGTGCTGAAAGGAACAAACGACTTATAATCGAATCTTTCGAGAGATGATAATTATCATTCCTTCACGTTTTTTTAGCAGTAATATTTAACGGCTATTTATCGTATTACACAATCCCTCTCAAAATGTCTTCATTTAATTGTGAATAGTATCACAGCATGTACAAACATCGATATTTAAGAGAAGTATGAAACTGAGAGTAGTTGTAATAATCAGTAAACATTTAAATGGGGACATTTTGTGATCAGATAGGACAATAAACGTTTCATCTGTATATCATGATCCCTGTGTTATTATTCACAATGAAGTTACTGTCGCTATTATAAAACAGATTATAATATAAATGATCCCCTCTAATGATTGATATGACTTACTACCACAATTTATATTAATAATATGATTCAAAAACGAACCATAGATTCATGCACTCAGCTTAACTCTACATGTTTTTATACGGCTAGTGATATTACTCACTTAGCTGCTTAAATCAAAAAGAGTTCGAACGTTTGACCTCCAGATATATAGTTTAAGCACTTAATCACTGTTGCCTATTTACTAAAAAGCAAATAAGCATAATCAATAACGTTCATTTCAAAATATATTAAAAGAAATACAATGGAGAATGCTTACCCCAAATGTCCTTTGGCGAAAAATTCATCCGAAGCTGATAAAGTGAGTAAATTGAGAAAGTCTATTGTGTTGTATTTCAGGAGCAGGTGTAAGACAGGATATTTAACATATTTTAAAAACTTGAGTGGAAATTTTACGTTTAGGAAAGATTCACTGAGCATAAGGTTAAAAACCTAGAAGTAGTACGTACGAGTAAGTTAGTAATACGAAGGACAAAACAGTTGAACAAAAACTGATTATTATAGGGTAGTAAGATAGAGGATAACGGATCAGTTTAAAGCGAAACCTGTATGTCAGTTGTAATGCTAATAGCAGGTTACGAAGGCTTTACAAACATTTGAGTCCCAACTGATAACCATATTAAATTTTTTTTGATCAACCACCCGATGCAAGCGTACCAGATAACCTGTATGATAAAGTTGTATAAGAGTCGCTTATTTGAAACCTGATTAATATTCGTGCCTCCTGGTTTCGATTGTAAAGCAACAAAACACTAATTCGAATGTCACTTTTTCGAGTGAAGATATGACACAAATGTCCCCTTAAATTTCGTCGATATTTTTTAAAAACAACCATTAATAACGTAAAAGAGGATCCCAAAAACGTAACTTGATTTAACGTAGATTAGACCACAACGTAAGATTTTAAAAGTAAATTGAACTTAACCTTTAAGGGAATATCTTGATGCAGTGGTGAGGGTAAACGTTGATGACAGAATGATTCACCTGCAAATGCTGAACGAAGTAAGACCAGTAAACAATGTCCACATTTTTCTACTCTGTTACGATCATATTTCTCTATATTATCGAACAGCATTAAGAAAAATCAAATAATAAAATGAAAAAAGAACAGCATAAACTTCAAACATGTCACAAAGGTGATATGATGAATGTTACGATATGGGAGAAATAAAAACGTATAATTAAAATTGCGATAGAGAAAGTGAAACAACAATTTTAATTAAGTGATTGTGTACTTTTCAGATTCTAGATGATATCCTTTAAGATAAGTCATACAATATGAATGCGTGTATTACATATCAGCTCATAAACTTTAAGCAACCAACTACTCTACATCAATTTTCGAAAATATTTTCATATGGAGTTGGGAATTGTAGAATCAACTAGGTTAGGAGATAATTCACTCACTGACAGCATAGGATAATCTTTGCAATATCTTAAAAACAAAGTGAAAATGAAGATGCAAATATCTGAATTTCGCCTTACTGGCAACATAATATTGTCCTTACCATGGAAATATGAAGATTATGGGTCCGGTCATAAGTGTATTGTCAGGAATTCCGAAACTAAGACAAAATAAATGCTTATTGTACCATAAATTCCAGATACTACCAATTTGTGATTACCTTCAGAATAAATTCCAAAAAAAACTACTTCACTTAATACTCTTTACTTTTTACAACTTTCCGTTCATGTGGTTCTTGTCACTTTTGACGTTGTTATATTTTACCTACTTTCTTTTAGATTAGATATATCGATACGCTTTTGGTCTGGGGTATTATGTCAATTTTTTGGAAGTCTGCGTTTATATGAGGTAAATATATTCACAATGACAAGTTGAAACAGCACGAGTATTATGAAAATTTTAGATGTTTATGGAAACCGTCATATTGTTTATTTGTGGTTTTCATCATATGATAACACACATAGTGAACACCACAGTATATATACCTGTGCGAATGACGACACCGAAATACAAACGCAAAGAATACAAAATAGTACCCCAACGGAACAACATGGCAAAAACGCATGTCTTAAACCAATATCATAAAAAATATTAAACTGGTTTGTATCATGAATCGAAGAAGTGACTGAAATTTACAAATAAATGGATTAAAATAAAGACCTATAGGAAATTCGTATTAGTCCACGTTGCTACATTTCATATCGGCGCACTGTGATAAATGTACAAAGTTAGAGGTAATAATACCAACAGTAGTTTAAAAATAAAGGATGTTGAGAAGACTAGATTTTATCATTATTCATCATAAAATTGGACTACGGCTTCTGAATAATTCAGGATAACCAACGTTGGTAATTTTGTAATACTGAGTCGTGCGAGCCACAACCACGTAGTCTGCACCTGTCAACATGGCACAGATCAGAAGTTAGTGACTTTATGGATTGGTGCCACGTTTTAGTTTACTAACTTACGCCTGTTACTCCCAATGGAGCATAGGCCGCCGACCAGCATTCTCCAACCCACTCTGTCCTGGACCTTCTTTTCTAGTCCCATCCATTTCTTGTTCATTTTTCTCATATCTATCTCCATTTCCCGACGTAATGTGTTCTTTGGTCTTTCTCTCCTCCTTCGACCTTGAGGATTCCATGTGAGGGCTTGTCTTGTGACGCAGTTGGGTGCTTTCCTCAATGTGTGTCCTAACCACTTCCAGCGCTTCTTCCTGATTTCTTCCTCCACTGGGATCTGATTTGTTCTCTCCCACAGTGGGTTGTTGCTAATAGTGTCCGGTCAACGGATCCGAAGTATTTTGCGTAGACAACTGTTAATAAACACCTGTATCTTTTGGACGATGGATTTCGTAGTTTTCCAGGTTTCGGCCCCATACAGTAGAACTGTCTTGACATTTGTATTGAAAATTCTGACTTTGGTGTTGGTTGCTAATTGTTTTGAGTCCCAGATATTCTCCAGTTGTAAATATGCTGCTCTTGCTTTGCCAATCCGTGCCTTCACATCTGCATCAGATCCACCGTGTTCATAAATGATACTGCCCAAATATGTAAAGGTTTTTACATCTTCCAAAGCTTCTCCGTCAATTGTGATTGGATTGGTGCATGCTGTGTTGTGTCGGAGAATCTTGCTTTTCCCTTTGTGTATATTGAGGCCTATTGCTGCTGAGGCTGCAGCTACACCGGTCGTCTTCTCCTGCATTTGTTGTTGCGTATGCGATAGAAGAGCCAGATCATCTGCGAATTCTAGATCATCCAATTGCATCCTAGCTGTCCACTGTATCCCATGCTTCCCTTCAGATGTTGACGTCTTCATGATCCAGTCGATCACCAGGAGAAAGAGAAAGGGTGAGAGTAAGCAACCTTGCCTGACACCGGTCTTTACTTCGAACGACTTTGTCAACTGTCCTCCATGAATGATTTAGCAGTTTAATCCATCGTAAGAATTCCGTATGTTATTGACTATCTTCTGAGGCACGCCGTAGTGTCGAAGAAGCTTCCATAGGGTTGTTCTGTCCACGCCATCAAATGCTTTTTCGTAGTCAATGAAGTTAAAGAAGAGTGATGAATTCCATTCAACTGATTGTTCCACAATGATCCTTAGAGTTGCAATTTTGTCTGTACGCGATCTATCCTTACGGAATCCTGCCTGTTGGTCTCGAAGTTGTGCGTCTACGCACAACGTTTTGGTTTGGCTGCCCCTAACGTTTTTCCAACCGCCCACAAAACTAGTCGGGATCGCTCGTCGTGGTAATCGATGTTCAGGCATACGCAACACGTGGCTCATCCATCTCAGCAGATGAAGATTCACAACCTCATCATCTGATTTGCCATCATTCCCTAATACCATTTGTCTAAGCCCACTATTACTTACCCGGTGATCGCAGCAGATACAAGCAATATTTCCAAGACATTTGTGATTAAATGCTAGTAACTTACGAGAATCTTTTACTCCTAATGGCCACGTTTTGCAGCCTTAAAGTGAAAAAGAACAAAAGCAAAAAAAAAATATAAACAATACCTGTTTCTTCATTGGAATCGTTCAAACTACTGGTCAGGTATTGTATGAGATCGTTGAAAGGCGTTTCGAAATCCATTAAAATATCTGTGTACAAATGTAAGTAGGCGTCGAACAGACTGTTGGTCCAGCACAACTTAACAGCCTGTAAAATATATTTTTAAAAAAACTGGTCAAAACATGTATGTAAAATTAAATACTAGGTTACAGTGACGTTAGTTTAATAAAAGAAATCAAGAACTTCGAACTTGCTAACCACATATTTTAAAATAACCAGTTACTGGGTTGCAACAAATAATTTGTATAGTGTTTAATGTTGGGTGAAACCTTAGAGCTAAGTTTACCACACGGTCATTAAGTTGAGCGACTACATCACGGTGCTGTCTAAATACTGCTTGGATCTGGTTAATTGATTTAAGCGGACCGCAACACCATAAATCCAATGAAAAATGTGTGGATTGTTTGCAAATTATCCAATACTAATGACAGGGACTATAATTAAATACGAAGTTCCACTTTGTTACTGACTGACTTATCGATAAGCAGAATACAGTTTCAATAAAGCTTTTCTTGGAATGCGTAGTCTTTGATATTTGCTACAAAACTACAATGAAATAATAAAATTTGATTTTTACCGGAATGAGTGACAGTTACTTTCAAAAGTTTAACATCTCCCAACAAATAGAACTTATTTTACTGCATACGTACTTTATTTCTGTCGAAATCCCGACGATAAGTGTTATTATTTAAAAAGATATTTGAAGACACTGATGTTGACTTATCTGGTCAATACGGTTAGAATTAATGATATATGTAAGATTTTCAAATGTTATCTAATTATCAGCGTACCAATCACTGACATCGTTTATGAGTGGGAATACTTTTGAGGAAATGAATTCCAAATAATTGTCCTAAGTAGTACGATAGAAAATTCATTAAGAAATTAACTGACAAATGACGAATAACGAACAGTCATTTCTGTTATTGCTTACTGTCTAATTCAAAAATATTCATTGACTCAAATGATAATAGACGATAAAAAGGTATAACATTTTATTATTTTATAAGACAGGTTATTTGCCCGAATGTAACTACAAAAATAATTAATAAAAACCCTTAAGTGAAAAATAAGTAATTGTACGGTTATTTCACTGAGGAAACGAAAGTACCAACAAGCATTCGTTAAATCTGAACACAACAATTTTCATTTTATCTACAGATTATCAACATTTTGATTAGAAATTTAAACCACATTTACAAATACAAGAAGTATTTGGGAAACGAAAACTTTTTAATATTTGCGGTCTTGGTTTAGTGGTTTAGCCACTTGCATGTTTGTACTTCTAACATAAGGCAAGTTGAATTCCACATGGTTTGTTTAAATAAATGCTACAAATATCTGTGTTTTTAACTTCAGCTTTCGAATCGCTCATTCATGATTGCCTGGTAAATTCTTGATTTCCATAGATATCGTTCCAATTACTAACAAGTGATCAGTAGAGAATGCCATGTAGAACCTGATTACCAGTTGCATAAGTCGCTGATTAAAGTGGATCAGTACTATCGAACGACCACGTTTTTGTACCAAAATTACAGCTGCCATGTCTTTTTAATCCATGGGATAATAACGTGAAAACATAAGTGGTAAATAATGACTTCTACAAGCATAACCATTAAAATCAATGTATAAGTCCAAAATAAACCCAAGGCTTGAGAATCAAACTATTTGTGTCTATATAAATATTGTAAACCTACAAGTTAAACATGCATTTAGGGGAAAAATTGATTGCGTTAGTTTCTAGGGAAATGTTTTGGATTATTTGGTGGTATACAACTTCTTAAATATAAGTTCCATTAAAAAAACAAATCCTGTCAACATTTAAATCCTTATCTATTTGGAATCACTTTGAACGACTTTCTTTAAAATTTGAAGTTCTACAGGTTTTTCTTATACTGTTTTATAACACGACTTCATTTTTATTAGACATTCTTTAATTCAACTAAGAAGGTTAGTAGATCTGTATTTATACAATTACTGTGATTACTAAAAATTATTCAAGAGACATCACAAGCTCACTTTTAACAATGCATTTAGTTCCCTATTTGTGTTATGTGTTGGTGATTAGTGTGGGTTTTATCGTTCACATTAGTGCGGTGGCTGATTAGTCAAAACGTTCGAATTTCATCCACTAAGTCCCTGGTTCGAACTCCACCCTACCTACTACAATTTGGACGACCGGATAGTATTACCAATTTTCGTACTTAAATGCCTAGTGAATGAATTTATTTTTTTCGAAAATTTATTCTACCTTTTTTATGGTGTTTCGTGGGTTCGAATCTCGTGAGACGGGGTCGTGGATGCACACTGCTGAGTCCCACATTAGGACGAAATGGCCTTCCAGTGCTTCCAGGTTTTCCATGGTGGTCTAGCTCCAATTGACTCATCATCTTAACTACTGAAACAACTACATTACTCTACACACTACATAGCTTACAGTTTTTAAGACGGTAATGGAATTATAAAAATCATTTTGCATGATGACCACTACTGAACTCGATGCTGACTTCAATATGTGAAAAAAATGGCTACAATATTTGAACATGTGTCAATAGATTTTGGCAGTATTTACATGATGTTTTAACTAAGTGAGATAACTATTAGCTGAATAAATAAGTTTCATAGGTGAAGATGAGATGTTCTGAAAACTGGACGTTTTAGAAATAAAAGCTAAGGGCAAGATTTTTTACATCTAAAAACGCCCTTCATAACTTAGACCAATACTCGGAACCGTCATCTATCCAAAAAAATAAATAGAACTAGCTTGATAACGATTAAGTGTTAAAGGTATCTAGGGAAGGATTTCTAGACTTTGACTTACATAGTTCAAATCCAAGCATGATGGGTGTAAACGAAGAAGACAGATTTCTGTTTTAACTTTTTTATCAATTAAATTATAACTGCACGTCGAGTTCATATAATCTGTGTTTGCCTCTAACGCATCATCTTGATGTAAGCACCAATCAATCAATTCTTTGGTCATATCAGGAGGGAGTTGAATGAAATCCTGTTTGGAATTAATTTCATGTGCAGATTGAGAACAGTTTGTACGTAATTGTTCAAATGGAGGCAATGACTTCAAGATAGAAAATGTAGCACTAAATAAAGCAGATGCTAACTGGGGAAGATTTCGAACAGCTGGATACAACTCTAACCAAATGAAGTCACTAAAAAACACGTAACCAATCGATAAATACATAGACTGAACCCCAGAAAGAGAGTAAAGGGCAATAAAAACAGGAAATATCCAAAAAAGAAAATGATATAAAAAAACTTATTACTAGTCATTTTAGCTAAAAGCGTTTGTATTTACGTTGGTAGTTACTTTTTAATTTGAAAGTGGGAAATAGAAGTCTATTCATAATCTCAAAGAATATTGGATTAACCGGACTGTTTAAGTGGGTGTGTAAACCTAAACTACATTCAGGTACCAAGTAAAGATTCAGTAAGCATGAATTAAATATATACTGAATTATTGTCCTTGTAAAAGGTTACGAATCTTGATTGTAGCTTAATTTGAGACTGATTTTTGAAAATACTTGGTAGTTTCGAGGATGTCTCGATTGACTTAGCGCAACTTCGGAAATGATGCACAACGGCATCGTCATTAATTTAACCACCATACTGTAAAACGGAAAACTAGAGAACAAGATAAATGGTATCATCCAGTAGTCGATTTTTTTAAGTGTAGATTTTTGCAAAAAACAGGAAGCAGAAATAATTGAACGAGGAATCCTAATATCAGGCAACAAACCAGAGCAAATTAGCATGGATTGGCACTGACTCGGTTCACTATAATATACAATATTTTCCCGAAAGACTTAGAGATAAGCTTCCGTACAATAATTTTCACATTTAACATAATATTAGTTAATCAATACAAAAGAACTAAACATATTTAATAATATAAATTGGGATGTTCATAATATTTTAAAAATGACTTTATAGTAAAGTAATTTTTATTTCTTGAAAGCAATCTTTTTTAATCTTGTCAGTAAGGAGTTGTGGACATTACTGATTTCCACTGAATGATGTGGAAATTGTTTACAGTATTAAGTGGGTATGATCAACAACTCCCTCCTACCTGGACGTGCAATCTTGGCTGACATATCATTAGTAGATCTAGAATAAAATAGGGATCGTCAGGTCAAAACGTGCCATCAATCCATGAATTTATCGCTTGTTGCTCTGAATCATATTGGTTACTTATTTACTTACTTAAGCCGCCGACCAGCATTCTCCGACCCACTCTGTGAATCATGTTGGTCGGTGTTGAATATCCGATTGAAGTCAGAGCATTTATCGTGATCAACGTATCAAGAAGTCGAGCAAAAAGACTCAGAATTTATCTCAATATCACAGATGCGTTCACTTTTTATCTTCACTTAGATACCAAGTTTGAAAATTATTCGAATCTTTCATTTCGTAAACTAACTCTCTCCTTTCCTGTCTTATTTTCTACCCCTAATCCTTTTTACCTTCAAAGATATTACTAATATTTCTACTTTGGTATTTGTCTAAACAATTTTATCTCACTGTGTTAACGCAGTGGAGCAACATGGACCGATAGGTATTTGTACTAGGTTTTACGTTTCTTCCCTGATTAGCTCCAATGCTATGGAATAAAAACCCAAAGACTAAAATTAGTACACAATTTGTTGCTAGACTACGTAAAAAAAACACTTACGGCTTCTTAATCATGCAAGCTATCCTAAAAATTGATTCAATCACTGAAGACGCCGATATCCAATTATCATTTTCATCACTCTGAGACGATAATACATGAAGCACCTCGTCATGAAGAATAGTCAGGATTTGATTATACAATAAAGACTCACTGTAATTATTATCTACTGTTTCATTGAAAAAATAAGAAACATTAGTTTGGTTGACAGATGTTATTGATTTTAATGCAGCTTCCATATAATTAAGACCCAATTGAAGTTGTTTACGGCGTAGAAGAAAAATGACACTCTAAAACATAATTTCGTTTGAAGACATAATTTTGGGATAAATTTGAAGTACATTTATGCAAGTATTTACGTTTGAAAATACGCAACATAGCTATCATACAATAAATAAAAATATCGAAAAGTTGAAAACAATGATTGTATTGAAATCAACAGAATAAATGTCAAGTTATACTTATCTATTTGATGAAACGTTTATTATTTCTTGACTGATATATTGATGAACGTGAAGTGTAAATACTCATCGCCTCAATAAATTGCAGTTTGACAATATACTCATTTCTATAGTGTTGTATCATAGTTCTAGAATGATTCGCTCTGATAAAATCAATGTAGATTGCGTAATATTCGTAATCTGCTTAGTAGGAATGGATTCCCAACGAAATTCATCAACAAACACATGAATGAAATGTAAAGAAGACTGAATGTAACTACCGTCCCGACGAAAGTAATGTTCTCAAAATTACAATTCCTAAATGACACTATTGATGAAGTTGTAACTGAAATGCTAAGAAATGAGGTGTAGAAAACATTTACTGCAGCCCAAGTGAGTGTGGTTGGAGAGATCGTTGATTGTTTAATTGGGATCATGAACCGACCAATGTTAGACCAATATTGAATGTGGTTTTTTACAAACGCCTGATGACGAAAACCATCAATAAAGACAGACTGTCTGAATTCGCCACATTTATGTGTATTTACGAAATCAAATACTCCTCTGGAGCCAGTTATACAGAGCGTACAATTCGGCAAGAACGTCATCGAGTTGAAACTACAATTTATGGACGAACTTTGAGTGGTGTTAATATGACCTTGGGTATATTCACCCACTTACCAGGGTTAAAATAGTTATAAATTAGAGAGGAATTAAGATTAGGTTTAGAGTTGAACGTTAGAGTTCAGAATTAGAGTTAGTGTTTTCATTACGAACTGATACTAGCCATAATGCCACAACAGAATTGAATAAGTGAATTTCGCACCAACATCCAAGACTTGATTTCTTGATTCTGATTGGCCCATACATAAATTATAATCTCGCCCATCATTGCATAGCAGAACACAATCCGTCTCGGTTGAGTAAAGGACAGGTAAAAATGATAAAAATTTATATTCTCGCTTATTCGGCCGACACAAAACATCAAGTTGATCTGAATAAAGCTGCTGAGATTATCTACCATTTTTCATCGAGTCTACCATATTGGTTACGAATCCATCTTTTGTATGATACTAAAGCTATCGGAATCCGTGTTTACAAACCTAACATTTGCATTCAGAAGTAGTTTGCACAACTACTCTCTCTAACTTGCACGTTAACATGAAAGCAACTTTTAGCTTGACTTTGATTAACCTCATTCTTTCAAAAATATTCAGACACTTGACTTGTTTCGTTTCATTTTGCAGTTTTATATATTCTCAATATCCGTCTCTTGATTCTTGCATAACTACCATAATACTGAACTTCCATTGTTGATAAACATTATGTAATGTAGCGACTGTTTAATTTTTCGAACGATTACTTTGATTATTATAAACCACTTTCTACAAAATACTCAATATTATTTTATAATCACTGTGACATTATATAATTATTATGTAACTCAACTACTCAATGAGTAGTAATTTTATTGTTACAAATCATATATATATGATGGAAAACTAGTTGAAAAGAAATTACATTAAGTCACGAAACGTCACAAATACAATTTCTCTACTAGTTGGGATATAAGAAAAGTATATATATATATATATATATATATATATATATATATATATAATACTAATAAGGGATTATTAGCAACTAGAGACTATTCAGATCTTGGTTAACAATAAATACTACGAAGAAAATAAAGTTATTGAACTGAAACTAAATACTTGTTTCGCAAAAGAGCCCTGTTGTGGATTACCAAAATAGAATTGTAGCAGATAGCCAGACGTCTGATCATTAACAGGCTTCTTCATGGAATCGACCAGATGATGTTCTTGTGGAGATCAGTTACAAAGAATCTGTTCGGAAAGTCTCGCATATAGGCATCTTCCGAGCACTATAAGTCGATCGTGTTCACATATGGTAGTTAAAGTAGTGTGTATTCATTATTAAAGGGATCTGGATTCAGTAATATGCCAACGTATACATTAAACAGAATTGAAAACCTTCTGTGTCGTTAAGAGAATTCCTTTTGTTATTCAGTACAGAAGGCAGACTGCAACAATTCTCTGAATGAAGAGTTTCTGATGACAGCTTTCCTAGATACTTTCTTGAATCACTATCTTGGAATTTTTGAAATTTAACAGGAGTTATAACAAGAGGAACATTACCCCTCTAAGATAGGAGAAAGCGCTTTTCTGTTTTTATTTTACGAGTCATAATTTGAAATTTAAATTATCTTATTAACTACTTGGATACGAGAGTTAATAATACTATCCGGTTTCGTAAACCAAAGTATTTAACTACAAGTCATTCAGACAGATGACCATCCTGGTTATTAAAATAAAAAGCTTCACTAACTAGTACATCATTTTTAAGTTCATTTCCCTGATGTTTAAATTATTTGTGATTTTCGTTACAGATAACCGATATATAACTGAGTATATTGGCTTCTATCACAAACAACTATGATCAATCATTACGAAAATTTGTAGTCACTCTGAATATCAGTTATTACTAAGGTTAATCTTTTTATTTAATGACATATTTAGAGCTTGAAAACATTTTAAGCATTTTAAAATATTGTGGACGGATTTAAGTAGAGAAATAAATGCGTTTACCTAATGAAATTAATTTAATCGACATCTACAATGTTAAATTTATTGAAGTAGAAATCGAAGATTGATCGTAGAGGATTTGATAGTTTAATCAAAGTGATAAACTACTAATTATAATTATAATATATTACTGTTTTGTGTTCGAAAAAAATTAATAACACAGGACTTATAACTGGGAATTATAGTAACAAGATGTTGCTTTAAAATAAATGAATTTATCGAGTAATTCCTTTCTTAAAATCGGAGCTAAGGTTTACCTCGTTCCATGTACGTAATGCTATCAGGTACAGCCCAGTTTCACCGAGGATCAATAACTGAGATCCATAAGCAGTAATCGAATGCATACAAGCTCGTTCCCCAGCAACAGACTGCACAAAATGAGATTAATAAAAAACAGAGTCGATGAACAAATATATATATATATATATATATATATATATATATATATATTCGGTTAAAACCTCAGAAAAATGTTTACAAACTTTTATTTAACGAATTTATTTCGCAACACATTACCGTTGTTAAAAAGACTGTTTAATAAGAAAGTAAACGCGAATTTGAAATACGTAAATATTTTAAATTATGCACTGGATTACAATCAACACCCATCCCGTCATGAATAAATAGGGTTTGTCCAGTAAGTTTTAAACGATGAATCTAAAATATACACTGGTTATAAAATTTTTAAGTAACGTTGCATAGTAAAACAACTCGAAATACTGAGCACTTGAATTTTCTACCTTTAGAAATTCACTATGCAACTTCTTTTATATAGCATTACGAATTTCATTTGCTGGAATACAAGTTTAAGTCTCAATCCCTATAGAAAAGCTTGAGACTGAAAGTAGATTATTAAACGACTATCAGTCAGCCATAATCAATATAGCCATCACAAAATGGCTGTGACATGTAAACTTAAGGGTGAAGCTGCATATAGTTGCTGAATTACGGCAAGTTTTTGTAGTAAATACTATTTTTGGGCACAGGCCGGTGTTAGGTCATTAATACGGTAAACAAAAATTGACTTAAATCACAAGTGACACCAAAAGACATGAAAAATAAATAAATTATAAAGAAGAAAGCTGGGAGCTAACATGGTGATATAAAGAGACAAAAAGTAGAATATCTGAACTCATCTCCATGATATATCTTCGCTTGCATGTGAACAACTGTGAGCACATATTCGACTGGAAAAAGGTTGAAATCTTGGATAGAAGGAATACTAAGATCACCAGAGAGTTTTAGAAATATGGGACTCAGGTCAATCAGCAATTAACAAACACATGAAAATTGATCCACTTTACCAACCAATCAGAAAAATCATGGACAAATAAGGGATTAAGGGTAAAGTCAAAAAAGATACCACCAAAATAAAGAGGCAGATAATGATAGGTTAGAGGTTATCAATAACTAATCACGATCGAGGTCAACAGGACAAGCTGTGAGTCATATATGGAGAAATTCGAATACTTCACTTCTGCTTGAAGTTTGTGCTGAAGATGTTATTCAGAAGAACGATGAAAGCTCCATAATTAAACCATTCAGTTTAGAGAACGAAACTCCACCTAAATCAACCACGTAAGCTACAAATATTTATCGGAACCCAACAGAATTCATCATCGATAATAAAGCTATGAAAGGGAAAATAACACAGACAAAAACCTATCCTGCACTAAACAAAAATGTGTTGTAATTACAACATAGGTAGGTACGAAAGATAACAGTAATTCTTGCTCCATTAGCTTCAGTTAGATTATGTCAGCGATACGTACAAACAAAACATAGGATGTCAAAGAAGTGTACGCGCGTAGTTCCCGTCAAAATCTCAAACGAAACAAATTATTTTGAATGAAACGAAAAGTTATAACATTTATAACAACTTACAAGAGCTTCACTAATTTTCGGATACTTAAACAAATCCGAATTAAGACGGACATGAATATTTGAAATATCAATGGTCTAAAAAAAGGATTACAGGAAATTACACATTGCACGTTATATAGTAAATAATATTAATGAGCTAAAAAAATCATTATTCGTGTAATCTAAGGTAAGATTATTGTGGTGTGCATTTATTATTTATTTGAACACATAAATATTGGTACAGGGGGGCACCAAATATATATGCCCCACACAAAACAATGAGAATTTAAGAAGGAAAACAAAGTAAGGAACGTAGGAAATGGTAAAAAAAGAACAATAATGGGGGAGACGAAAAGGTACACTCAGAAAAAATCTTTCAACCACTTTTTATGAAGAAAGTAAAGGAAGGCTACAGCAGGATCGCCACTGGCTTCTATTCTGAGCCATATCTGATAACGTCTCTAGCCACTGTGTTGCACCATCTCTCGGACCCCAGCCAGGGAGTCGTGAAGGACCAACACAAGCCAGCCCTTTGCATCTTCCTTTCATACCACGACACCATGTCACACACTGACCACCTCTCCTCTTTTTCCAACCAGTCCCAGAGTCGGCAAATAATGCACGACGTGGAATTCTCTGGGAAGACATTCGTAGAACATGTCCAAGCCACCGAAGTCGGTGTTTCAAGATGGTGACACCAATTGTATTATCGTCTCTGTGCCCGAACACACGATGCCGAACCTCTGCATTACTGACATGGTGTTGCCACTGGATGTCAGTAATCCTTCGGAGACAGCGATGATCGAACACAGAGAGTCGTCTAACATCCTCAACTCGGAGAGACCAGGTTTCACAAGCATAGAGCAGAACTGCTCTCACCGTCGCGTTGTAGATCCGACCATTTACAGCCAGACTAACATCACGAAGGCGCCAAAGATGGCCCAGATTGGCATAAGTCGCTCTGGCTTTCACTATACGTGCATTGATCTGATCACTCACGCCACCACCAGTACTTATGCAGCTACTTAGATACACGAACTTCTCGACTACTTCAATCTGCTCACCATCCAGAGTGAGTACAGGATTAGAATCCTGCCAGTCTTGTAGAAGTACTTTGCACTTCGAAGGTGCAAAGCACATACCATACCTACGGACACTGATTGCCAACTGATTAAGTGCGGATTGCACGGCTTGGGTATTATCGCACAGTAAGACAATATCATCCGCATACTCAAGGTCGAGAAGTCTTTCTCCAGGCAACAGATCCACACCACCATTACTTACATCCATCAGAGCTGTTTCCAGAATGTCATCGATGGCAAAGTTGAGGAGGAATGGTGAGATTGGGCAACCCTGTCTAACCCCACTGCTTGAATGGAACAATGGAGAAAGGTGGTTGTATGCCCTCACTCTGCTTGAGGTGTTTGTATATAGGGCTTTTAGGATGTTAATAAACTTCTCAGGCACATTTGGCGGAGGGTGAAGATATGATCAATACATCCTCGACCGGGACGAAAACCAGCCTGCTCCTCTTTCTCGGGTTTTGAACAACCTACGAAGTATGACTGAAGTCAATAGTTTGGACGCAATCGGAAGTAGACTTATCCCCCGATAGTTGTTACAGAAATGACGTGAACGCTTTTTGAAAATAAGAACAACTATCGACTCATTCCATGACGTTGGTACACTCTCTAGTTCCCAGACCTTTGTAAACAATGTCGTCAGTCCCTTAGTCAGAAAGTCACCACAATCTTTAAAAAGAGCCGGAGGTAAGTCATCTGGGTCTGGTGATTTGTAGTGCTTCAAGAGTTGAAGTTCCTTGCGGACTTCCGCCTCATTTGGTGGATCAGTCGTCACCGGCCATGGAGGGCAGGACAATCTGACCGATGTTGCCGGAGCAGCAGGCCAGTTGAACTGCCCTTCGAAGAATTCTGTCCATCGTCCAAGACGCCGATGGATGTTAGTTATTGGCGTTCCGTCATCTTCGCAGTTTGTTTCGCTCACACCAGACTTCTTGCTGCCAGTGGCTCGGATGAGTTGGAAGAGCTTCCGGTAATTACCAGATGCAGCTGCTGCTTCCAGCTCATTAGCACGCTCCGACCACAAGGCTTCTCGGTCCTTACGCAAGCTTTGCCCGATTTCATTACGTAACATCCTTCGTCTGTGGTCAAACTCACGGTCACCCAGAGTAGACCGACGGGCTTCAATCAGTTGTAAGGAACCAGAAGAAACCCAGTGCTTGTAAGCGGGACGTTTCGCGAACCCACAACAGACTGTACCCGCCATTTTCATGGCGTCATGCAATTGCAACCAATGCTCATCTATACTTTTCGGTGGAATGGTAGCTAGCCTAGAAGCTAGCTCGGTTCGGTACTTACTAGCAACAGAAGTTGCAGCCAGCTTGCTAACATCAATCCTTTGGTGGCGGTCACTTCGTTGTCCACTGAAAAGTAAGGTAAGATTGGCGCAGACCAGAGCATGATCAGAGTCCAGGTAGATACTCGAAAAGGAGCGAAAGTCTTATACACAACCACGCCAGCGGTAGCTGATCGCGATGTGATCAATCTGAGTCCAGGCTTGATATGCATAGGGGGGACGCCAGGTGGCACATCGGCGATGACTGTGCCGAAAGCTAGTGCTAGCCAGAAACAGGTTGTAGTCTGTGCATAGTTGCAGTAGACGTTCCCCGTTATCTGTCCTGAGACCAACAAGTCCCCATCGGCCACCTAAACGACTCTCTTCTGTGCCTAGACGCCGACCTGAGCATTCAAGTCTCCGGCTAGAACTACAATATCTGTCGAACGCACTTTCTGGAGAAGAACAGTTAGTTGATGGTAGAACTCGTCCTTGATTGCATCCGGGCTGCAATCTGTCGGGGCATAGGCGGAGATGACGAAAAGACATCGTTTCCCACGACGATTTCTTCTCACTTTGATGGAACTTTCTAATCTAACACCACATAACCGACTGTTAATGGGGATCCAGTCGACTAGTGCTGCCTCAGCTCTTGCGCTTAGTGCGACACCAACGCCAGCAAGACCAGACGAAGATGCCACACGGTCCCCGGATAAACGCACGTAAAACAAGCTTTTTGAAGCAACAGATGGAGAGCGAATTTGTAGTACTTCACCTGAGTTTTGAATACGGGTCTCGGATAGACAACACAAGTCAATATCAAGACTTTCCAAAGACATAGCCAGCCCTATCTGTTGTCCGACCTGCATAAGTGTGCGAACGTTGAAGGCAGCCAGTTTGAATGGTGCACGTGGTTTCAGAAAAACTGCTTCAGTATTCGTATTCGGTGGTAGCACACAATTTTCAACCAGGCAGTGACACGAGGACGTTTAGATAGAGCCGAATTTTCATAGGCGAGCTGCTGTCTAAGTCGAAACGGATACATAAAGCGGGAATAAGAGAGAGTGAATAAATGACGTGGTAAAATAATAATAATAATCACAATAATAATAATAATAATAATAATAATAATAATAATAATAGTGATGCGAGTCATTTCATTGTAAATCGGAGCGAAAAGAATGTTTTCCATAAGTAAATAGTTTATCATGTTTTAGCGCGTCGGCTGGAATACTGACCGGGTGCCCAGACCGAAGCAGATGGTTTTCTTAGGGGGCCACACCCCGAGCCTTTGACCTAAAGGTCTAACCCACAAGGCAGTGGAGCATCGTAAGGAGATGCAGTCCCATGGTAGCCGGTGACCAAGAAATCGGTTCATACGCAATTTGATCCTTTAGGATACTGGAGCCCATGTGCACCATTGATTTGGGATCTGGTTAAAGCGCCGGACGTTCGCTTTTCGTCCTCTCATTTTCGTAAACAACACCCCCGCCACGTGAAGGCAGTGAGTAGGACTTCCCTGGCAGAGGCTGTATACGCGTGGCCGTGTGGGAGTATTTCGAGAGGGAGGGCGAACCCACCCCACTCTCGGCCATATAAGGGCTACTGATGTTGACAGATATGAGTAATATGTATCATCAATAGAAAGTGAAATGCCTGGAGACAGAAGGTGAAGAAGACCAAAGAAAAGAGAACGAGAACAAAGAATGATTGGTGTGGAAATGAAAGAACAATGAATTCTGAGACGATTGATTGACATTTTGCAAATGAAGTATTTACTGTATGGTTCTCAGATTTTACTAAGATGTTCTGTAATTTTGTACGTCCGGCGCTTTAACCGGACCCCAAACCAATGGTGCACATGGGCTCCAGTATCCTAAAGGAACAAATGGCGTATGAACCAGTTGTAGGTCACCGGCTACCATGGGACTGCATCTTCTCACGATGCTCCACTGCCTTGTGGGTTAGACCTTTAGGTCAAAGGCTCGGGGTGTGGCCTCCTAGGAAAACCACCTGCTTCGGTCTGGGCACCCGAGCAGTATCACAGCCCTCACACATATCAAATGAGATCTGTGTGACGCATATGTATTTGGTGCCTCCTTGTACCAATATTTATGTGTTAAAATAAATAAAATAAAAATTCTGTATTCAAAAACATTCAATTGTCCCAACTTGTGTTCTCGTTCACTACATTATTACTTAAACTGATAACAAGTAATAATTGAGGCTGGAATAAAGACCTGGGAAACTGTCAGATACAAACTACTAGGAGCGACTAGTTTGATACTCTGTCAAATGATAGCTAGTCACAAACAAATACACTGTTTCCAGTTGTCATGTAAACACAAGACAAACGACGATATTTGGTCACAATCACGGTAAGTAGAAGACAGGGTTCTTTTAGCACTATTCCAAAAGAAAGAGATGTCACTTAACTAAATAATAGTGACTGTAGTCCGAAGTAATGCTGGTTATGTTTATTGTTTTAAGATATGTTAAAAAATACGGAATTGTCTATTAATTCTGTACACGAAAAAAGAAATAACAATTCTCAGTCTGTTGCTATTATGACGAGAGAAAGAGTATTAGTACATAAATTTTCTGTGATAACAACAGACTAGTTATTCTCTAAAATCAAACAATCCGTAAAAGACTAAACAAGTGGCAAGTTTTCAAAAAAGAAAACTTTGTGATAACTAACTTTGTATGAGACGACTCGTTTTCGTAAAGTAAGTAAAATCTCATTGACAATTCAACCAACGCATCCTGTGGTAGATATTTGAATAACAGAAAATGGCGAATACATACGTGTCTCAGTTATATTTTCCAGACTCATATTTAATTTGAATCCAAAAAATAAAGTGATAGAAAAAAAGGGATAACCGTCCCTTGTATTTACACAATAGTTAGACAAGACTTCACACCAAATAAATAAATAAGAGACTGAAATGTTTTAAGTAGTAAATCAAAAGGGGTTTCGAAAGAAGTAAAACTTTTATTTAAAGTGATTAGTTGTCTAGTCAGAGAACCTATTTATAACTTGGGGTAATACATTTAACACTAAATTGGTGGGATGTAAATGTGGTATGCAGGACAGTCAGTCAGCTGCAACGTAGGACCAGGCACGTATATGCATCGGTCCAAGTTGCCATACCGCATTAGCACGACAAGATGAACACCGGATTCATAGGAGTAGTTAATTCAGTGGTGGTAATATATAGAAGAAAGATTGTGTATAAGGAGATAGTAAACGAAGAAAGAATTAGTTCCTAGACAGATATGAAGCGATTTTAATCTCTTAATTTAAGGAAGACAGAGAGTGTATACACCGACGCCATTGTGATCGATTCTGAGCCATGTCACCAAGAGTCTCCAACCATTGGTTACGATAGTCACGCGGACCCCAACCAGGCAGTCTGAATCTCCCAACATGGCTCAGACCAGAAGTTAGTGACTTCAAGCACTGATGCCACGTTTTGGTTTGGCCGCCCCTAACTTTCTTCCAATTATCCCCTGCACTAGTCAGCATTGCGCGTCGTGGTAATCGGTGTTCAGGCATATGCAACAAGTGGTCCAACCATCTCAGTCGATGAAGATTCATAACCTCATCAACTGATTTACCATCATCTAATACCCTGCGTCTAACCTCACTATTACTTACCCGGTGATCCCAGCAGATACCCGCAATATTTCTAAGGCACCTGTGGTCAAATACTAGTAACTTACGAATATCTTCCACTCTTAAACGCCATGTTTCGCAGCCGTATAGAAGGACGGAACGAACTGCCGCGCAGTATACTCGTCCCTTAATTGATAGACGGATATCTCGCCTTCGCCATAGATGACGTAAGTTGCCAAAGGCCAAGCGAGCTTTTCGAATCCGTGCTGAGAGTTCGTCAGACACCAACCCATTAGGGCTGATCAGACTTCCAAGATAAGTGAAGTTGTCAACGCGTTCGACAACTTCACCCCCTATCCTTAGTTCAGGTGTTGACGCAGACCAGTCCTGAAGCAACAACTTGCATGTAGAGGGAGAGAAGCGCATCCCAAACATTCTAGCATTGTTGCTCAGTGCTACCAAAAGACTCTGCATTTTATCAGCGTCTTCACCAAACAGGACTATGTCATCTGCGTATTCTAAGTCAATAAGTGGACCTCCTGGTAGGAGATCAATGCCCAAGAATTCAGTCGATGAGAGCGTTATTTCCATCAGGATGTCTATGATGAAGTCAAACTAAAATGGAGAAAGTGGACAGCCTTGACGGACACCACTTGAGGTTGCAAAAGCAGATGACAGTTCGCCATAGGCTCTGACCCGACTAGTAGTGTTCGAGTAAAGAGCCTTCACAAGGTTTATGTACTTCTGAGGTACGCCTTTCAATGACAGACACTGCCACAGAACCTCTCGATCCACAGAGTCAAATGTTGCTTTTAAGTCAAGGAAGACCACCATTGTCGGACGCCGATAAGTATGCCTGTGTTTTAGAACCTGACGAATGGTGAATATGTGGTCGATGCAGCAACGACCAGGTCTGAAGCCAGCTTGATTCTCTCGTGTTTGCATCTCACGAATCTTAGTTAGGCGTCCGATAATTATCGAGACTAGTATTTTAGGTGCTATGTTAGTTAAACTAATCCCTCTATGGTCATCACAGGATGGTTTTGACCCCTTCTTATATATTGGGACAATCAGTGATTGTGACCAGTCAGATGAAATTACGTCCAACCCCCAGATCTTACTGAAATATTGGTCAACCTAATCGCTAAAATTGAACCACCATACTTCAAGACCTCCGAGCCGATCCATCTGCTCTTCCTCGTTCCAGATTAGCTGCAGCTTTTTGGACTTCAATTAGAGTCGGGGACCTACTTCAATGTTCCATTCACGCAGTCTGGGAATGGTGGGTAGTCGTAGAGTAGCTGAAGGCCAGCTAAACTGCTCCTTAAAGTGTTCCGCCCATCGTTCTAAGCGTCTGGACTGGGAGCAGATGAGAGTGTCGTCTTTTTCCGAAATGGTCTGACTTACACTTGATTTATTAATTCCAGTTTCTTTTATTAGTCTGTAGAGTTGTCTTGTGTTCCCTATAGCCGCCGCCTTTTCCATCTCTTTTGCTTTCGTTGCCCACCACTGCTCACGATCATTCCTTTGACTTTTGGTTAACCTAGATCTGACTTGCTTTCGCTCATCATCGTGTTCAGAGCCTAATGGGATGAGTTTGCGCGAATCCATCAGTACAATAGACCTTGAAGAAATCAATTGGTTTTTTGTAACCATTTGGTTTAAATCACTGGTAGATGTCACTGCTGTTTCCACAGCTGCTTGTATAACTTTCCAAGCAACATCTGGGTCAGTCTCGTTTTCAGAACTACCTAAGTGTGACCTCAGTTGTTCCTGGAACCTACTTTTGGCTTTCTCATTACTCAATTCGGTTCTAATGAGTCTTTTTTGTGTGGCTCTTTTGCGTCCAGTGAGGCGCAGGATAAGAGTTCCTGTTAAAAACAATTATCTTCACAAGTAACTTGTTTATCAATCTGAGTTCAAATTTTGTTACAGTAAACAATCTCATGTATTAACAACCTATTAAATGAAAAGTAATTCACTGAATTATATTCTATATGCATACAAAGGGATTCGGCTTCCTCAACCTCAAGTGATCAACAACTATGATTTTTGAAATGAAACTTCTAATAATTTGTAGCTTCCGCACTTAAAAGAAAATAATAAATTATCCAGAGTACAATAACGATAACAATCTACGGAGCATAGATGACAGTATTAGCATCAATCACTATCATTTTAAAAAAAAACTGATAAACAAGAAAATAAGGCTTACTTCTAGCATTTCCCCAGTTATACTATTCAACAAATGAAGTTGTTCACATTCATTTACAACGACAAGTTGATTAAAAGAGATCCACTATTAAAAACCAAAACAAAACAAGAAATAAGAAAAGAAAACCGAAACCGAATAAAACGAAAGCATTAACTAAAAATTGAAATGTAGAGGTGAACACAAGTATTTTGAACCCTTCATTTAACGACAGGGAGATAGAAACGAAACTTATTTTATAGGTGATATATTTTACAGATTAAGGAGGAATGTAACACACCGGTCAAAGGTGTGACAGTCAGATTCATATTCCAATTTTTTATCCAGCATGATATATATATATATATATATATATATATATATATATATATATATATATATATATATGTATGTATATATTATACATTATCAGTTCAACAATTTTAGAAAAATAGGCAAACCACATGGTAATCTGTTCAACTACAAACGATCAAATATTATTTACCTTCAGGTTGAGAAAGTTCTGTTCGAAACTAAAAGAATATAACAATCTAAAACCAAGCTGATTTCCACTATTCTTTGAAGTATTCGCACGTAAGAGGGTGGAACTATCGGGAAAAGGAGAATCAGTTAGTCGTAAAGAAGTAACAGAAGTGTTGTCTGATTGGGAAATCTTAGAAACCTGCATAATGTAAACAACTGAACCTCGTCCAAAAGCAATAAATGCATTATCAGGAGAATCAGCATTCCAGTACCAGTTTAAAAAGGGAAGGAATGCAGGTGGTCCCTGGAATGAATAAAAAAAATCGCACTGTGTAGTTAAAAAAATATCATAGTCATCTTACTTGCCAGTCCACACCACACAATAGAACCATTACTTCTAAATAAAAGCATTCATGTTGAGGATTTCAATACAACTTCATGAAGCTAATAATCTATCATCATAACAAAAAATATCCCAACAGCTCCATAATAATTTTTGTGACATCAAAACAAACAACAATGGCATACATTGACTAATCTGGAACGAAAACAATTAAAGATACTATCTAAAAACTAACTTTCAAAACCTGCCAGTGGGATACTTGAACACGAGGACGCAACTGCACAATGATCAGTTTGGTAAACGAAGCCAGAGCCACAAGAGCAGAAGAATTTAGGATCGACTGTTTAGCTTCTTTAAGTTGATCATCTAACTGTTTTGAATCAAAATGTCCATTAGTTTTCGACGCATTTAATCCAAGGGCTTCCATTGCACATATTTCTCCATGACTGAGGAAAGACAAAGAGAAACTGTCACGTTAGTGTATGTACATCTATCATAGAAATAACCACAATGAGATTTTTACAAAAAACATTAAAGCTGCTCCAACTTATTTCAGATACTAAGTTGATTCGTATTTCTTAGTAAAAGTGCTTTGGTGTTACTTTTACGGTTCACTATTATTTCTTTAAAGATTGGTTTTTCAACAAGGCATTTTTTCCAATAAAACTAAAGACATAAAAGGTTAACAGTGTGGACCCAGGGCCTTACATGAACATAATTATGCGTTAATTAAAGATTTATAGTTAAAACAGTGTGCACTGCTACCAAAAAGATAACTTTGATAGACGTTTTTTAAATAAGAACGAAAGTAATGAGAAAAATGAAACAAATCAGAGAATGTTTCAAATGGATTTGATCAAAAATATTTGTTCATATTCTGCAGAGACTTAAATCAGTACAAATTATCGATTTCTATTTGTAGAACTTTGTATTAACTTTTCGACCACTTAAGAGAAATTTTTATGTGATGTTTACGTGATAACATGTAATTGTAATGACAATAAAAATCAAAATAAGTTACCTATTTCTAATGAACACTAACATTCGAAGATGAAATACTGACAAAAAATATTCAGCTAACAAACTGTTACTCAAAAACTTACCTTCCAGAAAAGAAACACATGGATTCGCCCTTCATACCAACTAAGCCTTGTCTAGAATTAAAAATAATATATCAATATTAATAAAATATTAACAAAAAAAATATTGATAATCATAGAATCACGATAACTCTCTCCATAAAATTACTAAGGTTAACAGAATGAGTTCGCCACCAAGTTCATCAGTCAGTCAGCTACAATGTAGAACCAGGCATATATATTCATCGGTCCAAGTTGCCATACCTCATTAGCACAACAAGATGAACACCAAATTCATAGTAATTAATTACATGGTAGTAATATCTAAAAGAAAGATTGTGTATAAGGATATAGTACAGGAAGAAAGAGTTAGTTTGTAAAAAGAAAGTTATGAAGCGATTTTAATCTTACGGTTTGAGGTAAGACAGAGAGTTTACACAGACGCCATTGTGGTTGATTCTGAGCCATGTCACCAAGAGTCTCCAACCATTGGTTACGATAGTCACGCGGACCCCAACCAATTAGTCTGCATCTACCAGACTAGAACTTAGTGACTTTATGGACTGATGCGACATTTTGGTTCGATCGCCCCTAACATTCTTCCAACCATCCCCAACACTAGTCAGAATTGCTCGTCGTGGCAAACGGTGTTCAGACATACACACCACATGGCCCTATCATCTCAGTCGATGAAGATTCACAACCTCATCAACTGATTTACCATCATTAACTAATATCCTGCGTCTAACCTCACTATTGCTTACCCGGTGATCCCAGCAATATTTCAAAGACATCTGTGGTCAAGTACTAGTAACTTACGAATATCTTTTACTCTTAATAGCAATGTTTCGCAGTCGTAAAGTAAAACAGAACGAACTGCCACACATTACACTAGTCCTTTTATTGATAGACGGATGTCTCGCCTTCGCTATAGATGACGTAAGTTGGCGAAAGCCAAACGAGCTTTTACAATCCGCGCTGAGAGTTCGTCAGACACCAACCCATTAGGGCTGATCAGACTTCCAAGATAAGTGGAGTTGTCGACGCGTTCGACTACTTCACTCCCTATCCTTAGTTCAGGTGTTGACGCAGACCAGTCCTGAAGCAACAATTTGCATGTAGAGGGAGAGAAGCGCATCCCAAACATTCTAGCATTGTTGCTCAGTGCTAGCAAAACTCTGTATTTTATCAGCGTCTTTACCAAACAAGACTATGTCATCTGCGTATTCTAAGTCGATAAGTAGACCTCCTGGTAAGAGATCAAGGCCCAAGAATTCAGTCGATGAGAGCGTTATTTCCATCAGGATGTCTATGATGAAGTCAAACTAAAATGGAGAAAGTGGACAGCCTTGACGGACACCACTTGAGGTTGCAAAAGCAGATGACAGTTCGCCATAGGCTCTGACCCGACTAGTAGTGTTCGAGTAAAGAGCCTTCACAAGGTTTATGTACTTCTGAGGTACGCCTTTCAATGACAGACACTGCCACAGAACCTCTCGATCCACAGAGTCAAATGTTGCTTTTAAGTCAAGGAAGACCACCATTGTCGGACGCCGATAAGTATGCCTGTGTTTTAGAACCTGACGAATGGTGAATATGTGGTCGATGCAGCAACGACCAGGTCTGAAGCCAGCTTGATTCTCTCGTGTTTGCATCTCACGAATCTTAGTTAGGCGTCCGATAATTATCGAGACTAGTATTTTAGGTGCTATGTTAGTTAAACTAATCCCTCTATGGTCATCACAGGATGGTTTTGACCCCTTCTTATATATTGGGACAATCAGTGATTGTGACCAGTCAGATGAAATTACGTCCAACCCCCAGATCTTACTGAAATATTGGTCAACCTAATCGCTAAAATTGAACCACCATACTTCAAGACCTCCGAGCCGATCCATCTGCTCTTCCTCGTTCCAGATTAGCTGCAGCTTTTTGGACTTCAATTAGAGTCGGGGACCTACTTCAATGTTCCATTCACGCAGTCTGGGAATGGTGGGTAGTCGTAGAGTAGCTGAAGGCCAGCTAAACTGCTCCTTAAAGTGTTCCGCCCATCGTTCTAAGCGTCTGGACTGGGAGCAGATGAGAGTGTCGTCTTTTTCCGAAATGGTCTGACTTACACTTGATTTATTAATTCCAGTTTCTTTTATTAGTCTGTAGAGTTGTCTTGTGTTCCCTATAGCCGCCGCCTTTTCCATCTCTTTTGCTTTCGTTGCCCACCACTGCTCACGATCATTCCTTTGACTTTTGGTTAACCTAGATCTGACTTGCTTTCGCTCATCATCGTGTTCAGAGCCTAATGGGATGAGTTTGCGCGAATCCATCAGTACAATAGACCTTGAAGAAATCAATTGGTTTTTTGTAACCATTTGGTTTAAATCACTGGTAGATGTCACTGCTGTTTCCACAGCTGCTTGTATAACTTTCCAAGCAACATCTGGGTCAGCCTCGTTTTCAGAACTACCTAAGTGTGACCTCAATTGTTCCTGGAACCTACTTTTGGTTTTCTCATTACTCAACTCAGTTCTAATGGGTCTTTTTGGTGTGATTTTGGGTCCAATGAGGCGCAAGCAGATACGTGCCCGTATTAGGGCATGGTCAGAGTCCAAGCAGGTACTCTAGAATAAGTGACAATCTTCTATCGACCCTCTCCAACGATGACTGATGGCAATATGGTCCATTTGAGTCTATTGTTGATTTGGTGCAGGGGGGTCACCATGTGAAACGACTGTCTGAGCACAGTCGCAGCACCGATTTAATGGTCATCAGTGAAAATAAGTGGTACTTAGAAATGAACTAAACTGTTCAATAAAAATATCGTATTGCTGTATATTGCCTTCATTTTCTTTACTGCAGAAACAAAGTTTGTTTTGATAGCACAAAGTTTCCAACACTTATTGATTATTTATTTCAACGCAAACATTCGTACAAGGATGCATCAAACAGATATGCGCTGCACTTCGTCACTTGGTTTGTGTGAGGGCTGTGATGCCACCCGAGTGACCAAACCGAAGCAGGTGGTCCGCTTAGAGGGCCACTTTTCGAGCCTTCAACGTGAAGGTTTAATCCATAAAGCGGTGGAGCAACGTTAGGAGATGCAGTCCCATAGTAGTCGGTGACCAACAGTAGGTTCATACGTCATTTGTTCCCTCAGGATCCTGGAGCCCATGTGCACCTCTGGATCGGAATCAGAATTTTCAAACTCTCTTAGGTGGATCCTCTGTATCCACTAGCCCAGTTAAGGCGCAGAGCATTCGCTTTTCGTCTTCTCGATTTCGTAAATAGCAACCCATCCGCAAGAAGGTAATGGGTAGGACTTCCTTGGAAGTGGCTGTATACACTTGACCATATGAGAGCATTTCGAGAGGGAAAGCGGGTTCTCCCAACTCTCGGTCATACTAGGGCATTTAGGGGTATTGTACAGATTTTACTCATACACCAAGCTTATTTAGTTCATAAAACTTAATATCAGCAGTACAGTGAATATTTTTAGGAACCTAGAAACAACAGGACGTAAGTTAGATGCATTAGTCACTCAAAACGTAAAGTATATCGGATCCAGAAAGGTAGAAAAATAATCATATATGAACTCAAATTCATGGAACATCATTTCTAAAATGATTGTGTTTACATCATCCTGGAACTAAATATACGTTAATCACAACAAATATAGTTTTCAAACTCACGTAAACTTAAGCTGAAACACTGATCCTCCGGTGTCAACACACGCAGCTAACGAGGAAACAGTAGTAAAACAACAAAGACCGATTGAATGACCAACTCCATGAGCATCGTCGACTATACAGAGAAGACGTCCATAACCACTGTTATTAGAAAAAGAGAGTGAACCCCTCTTCTTGGGAGTCACTGAGGTCTCTTGTGGTGCATAGTTGTAATTTAACTGAATAGAGTTAAGACCACCATCGTTTCTCTGTGATGTTTCCGGTATATCTGACTCGTCATCAGGAGCATACTGGCGACCCATTATTGTATCTTGTCCAGATTTCTCAGATAAGACTGAAGCAGGAATTTGCCAAACAGCTATTCTACCACTACTATACGCAGTCATTAATAAGGTTCCATTCGGATTCTGGCTTAAGACAGTTATTGGACCTTGAGCTTCTCCAGCTTTTGCTTCAGGAGTATTTGGTGGACTTATGTTGCCAAAACAAAGTCTCAAAACTTGATGTAAATCTACATAACAAAAATAAGTAATTGGAGAGATGAAACATAATGACGATGAATATCAGATCAACAGAGTAGAAGCTTGATAAGTTGACATAATGTATAGATCTTCCTCGGTGACAATAAAAAATTTCTGGAGCTATATTTGGTCTAACAACATAATAAAACTAGGTTTAGGCTTTGGTGTAATATAAAAAAACTGATAAAAGAAAGCTTGTACGTTGGAAGACACTGCGTTCAGTTTAAATTGGCATATAACACTAAATGCTAATGCCCCTGGACCTATATTAATTGTATTCAATGAAAAAAAGCAATCTGACATTGGTAAGGTTTAAAAACAGATGAGAAAATAAAGTTCTAACAAGGAAAAGGAGCACGACTACAAGAATAAAAATGTTCTATACTTATTTCGGCAATCAAAGAAATAAGCCAAACCTAATACTAAGTACTCTAGGAGTGTGAAAATTGTGTTTTATTTTAGCAGTATTTTTAATTCACTGAACAAACAACCAAAAACTCCGAGTAGGTTTATCGGCTTAGTGATCGTTAAACCCATATTGATTAACGATTGTATACAAGTAAACTATTTGAACGTTTCTTAACAGTGTAGATGTCTAGGTTTCAATAAACCGAATCGGATGATAATTCTTACAACAGACAAGAAATTTACAAGCAGCTGTAGCAAGAATGAAAAATAGCAACAATATTCATTTACGCAAGTCGAAGTTATTGAAACTCGAGACAACCAGTTGATTTTTGTAAATGACTAAAAAATGGCAGAGCGATAAAACGTATACTGTCAATTAAATTACTAATTTTTGTGTTCTAATAAATTATTACCGCCAGGTAGTTGGAAAAAATAGGTAGGAAATCATGGACTTGATGTTCGCTGGCATTCATTAAAAAGATAAATCTGTATTTTTTTATGGGATAGACGGACTAAGGAAATTCAGAATCGTATTACCTAATAACGTAGCTAGAGACATTGCTACAGAAATAGCCGGCAATGATCAGTTCATCTGAATTACTAATGAATAGAAGGATGGCGATGAATACTATCCAGTAGCTAATTAGTATGGGTTTTAGTTAGGCAGTCAGGAGGAACAGTAAAAACAAATATACATATCTAAAGTAGATTATGTAGCTTAACTATAACTTGAATATGGATTTAATTTAATTTTCGTGTGGTTTCGATTACTTGCTACTCTTTATTATGAACTTTTAAAATAGGTACGAAATATCTATACATTGTGACTTCTGAACATATAATACAACAACATTATCCTGCTTCCGTTTGGGCGCCCGGACAGTATTCCAGCCCTTACACAAATCGAATGATGAAGGCGCATATATATTTGGTGTCTTCCTGTACCAATGTTTATGTGTTTTGGAGAAGTATTATACAAATGTAATACATGTGGGACAATGTACGAAAGCAGGAAAACTTGCATGATAGAAACGGATAATGTGAACTTACTGAAAATAAATATGACACCTTTGTTTGTCCCAATCGCTAAATACTTGCGAAAAGACTACAGAGAAGTAAAAATATATAAGAAAAATAATAAGCTACTCCATTAAGCGTCAAAAAGAAATATAAAAACATGAAGTTTTTCGAAATTACGAATGAAGTATTTATCAACTGCCTGTAGTACACCTAAGAACACAATTTTACAGGTGATAAGACGGTCAATGAGTAAACTACATATACTTTTTGCTGACTAAAGGAAAATGGAACTACGAGAGTGGTGGATAACCATTCCATTAAATGATAACATACTAACCTCAAGTCGTTGCGTAGGTTTACAGTTAGTAACATAAGTCAAATGAGAACATGATTAGAAACAAAACACTACAATTGATTTACAGTAAAAAACTCAACTACTGAATAACGCTTAACTATTATAGTATATCACATAAAGAGAAAATACAGGTAGCAATAAAAGCACACAACTATGACAAAGCGTAATTACCATATATGTAATTACTTCACGTACCATACTTATTATAAATGCATGCAATCTACTAAAGCAACCAATTTACCCACCCAGCGAATGAGCTTTTAGCAGCCAGATAAACTAAAATTTAAATGTTTTATGATGTCCTGATACTTCCAAATCTGATTCCTGTAAAACCATAGATAACCAGAAAAGTCCTTTAGCTTTAATAGCTATTTACTACTTCGTAAATGACAAGACAGCAATATCTTAGAGCAGTATAACTACATGGTCGTTTCGAAAACAAACAGAAGGAAAACAAATTAATACTGCGGCACGCAAATTCTAGAATTCATGAGGTTCAACACGATATCACTAGGCAATCTTTCAGGACCCGAACCATTAAAGTGAAAAATGAAGCAATAAATAACGAGAAAGGATGCTTGAATTAACAATAAGGGCGCTTTTCAAGAGAACCAGGGGCTATTACGCTAGAGCAACTAGTATCTCTACCACAGACGAGTACTAATCGCCCTGGTACGGCCGAGAGTGGGGAGAGTCCGCTCTCCCTCTCGAAATGCTCTCACATGGCCATGCGTATATAGCCCCTGCCAGGGAAGTCCTACTCACTGCCTTCTCGTGGCGGGGGTGTTGTTTACAAAAATGAGAGGAAGAAAAGCGAATGTCCGGCGCTTTAACCGGACCCCAAACCAATGGTGCACATGGGCTCCAGTATCCTGCGGGAACAAATGGCGTATGAACCAATCGTTGGTCACCGGCTACCATGGGACTGCATCTCCTCACGATGCTCCACTGCCTTGTGGGTCAGACGTTCAGGTCAAAGGCTCGGGGTGTGGCCCCCTAATAAAACCACCTGCTTCGGTTTGGGCACCCGGGCAGTATCACAGCCCTCACACAAATCAATTGAGATTTGTGTGGCGCATATGTATTTCGGTGCCTCCCTGTACCTATACTTATGTGTTAAAATAAATAAATAAATAAAAATCGTCGGATGAAAAGGTTTGTAAGTTATTCTGAAGTGTCCGTTAAGTCAGTCTGCCTGTTTCTATGAATAATATTCTGATCGACCTTCAATTTTGGCGAAATAAATAATAGTTCAAAAGTTTTAGACAATAAACGCCAAAACTTATTCGTGATCCTGGTTTATTTATATACTTTACGACTTGTTTTGTAATGAACTACTTTCGAATACAGTTCGCACTTATTTGTAACACCCGTTAGGTGAATTGATCCCCTCAATAATTAAATCACATAAGCAGAAGAATACTTCAAGAGTTCGTTCGTTAAAAACAAAAATTAGTACACATACTTCTATGCAGTTAGCACATACCATCAACAAAGATAGATCAAAAATTCAAAACACTGAAAGAGGTCGGGGCTTAGCCTATAAGACTAAAAATATACACTCGAGGTGAGCGACACGCTTACCTCCAAATGCTTGGAGATCTTGGCAGACAGTGCTAAGCAGAATAAAAATACGCAACTGTTTATTTTCATGGACTTTGTATTACCACAATGAAGGAAAATAACAAAACCTGCCGACAGGAATGAAGCGTCAATCAAGGAAACGTGGTAATTGAAAATTTAAGATGTGACAAGATATTCAAAATAGGACAGAGAAATGATTATATCACTATCAGAACCAACTTCCCATCTACACTTAAGATTTGTTCACGGTTCACTCATAGCCCTTTAATGAGAAATCAACGTGTAGATGACCTAACCAAGAGTCAATAGCTTCGTGAACAGGTGTACTTGTATCGGTCATTTTTAATTCATTTAGGTGAGCTCTTACACATGAGGATATGAGTGTAGTAGCACAAGTGCATTCACCATTTGTTATTTATCTTAACTCCAAACAAGGTGCATTTATTTTTCATCTGATAAATATTGAGAGCACACTGTGTCTACCCTCTTGTTATTAATAAAAACGAGTAACTAGGTTTGTCAACATGAATGGAATAAAATGCAAATCTGAGTATAGAAAAAACACTACGGAGCTAACAACGTCATTATATGGTCGAATACTCGAGAAAAATCGGGGAACATATTTCGATTATTAGTGTCTAAGGTTTTTCATCAAAAAACCTACAAAATGACATTTCCCATCCATTTAGTTGAAATATTGGCTGATATTTGTAGCCATCAATGACAGTGCATTGGGTGTTTTGAGAAATATATACAACTTGCATGCAATACACAAGCATAAACACGGCTAAATGATGCAAATACTTTTGAAGCACCTTATCAATAAAAACATACTCTGTAGCGAAAAACAGAATTGTCGTGTATTCAAGAGGCAATAAAAAGTTTGTTCGACTATAAACCATCAAAACCAGTGAAATCATGGCACACTTGGAAATCGGAATTTTCCGTGAAAATAAATAATGCTAGCTTACCACACAGGAGGGGTCGCCCACATGGCTTTTAACTGAAGCATTCTTAAGCTGACAGGACACAGAAGACAACATAGCCTTACGAATAAACACTTGTGATGTGCCCAAATGCTTCGACGACTGCAGAGAGGCAGGAGAGCATGTTCTGACGGTTGTATTCTCATCTGAAGTAATGAAGTTTACAAACCACAGATTTATACCGATGTTTGCTTGTAGTATATCTGCTTCTATATCAGAATCAATTCTGTCTTCTTCTGATATGAAAGAACCTGTCGGACTAGAGAAGGCTGAAGAACTTATGTTTGGTGAAATTTGGTAATAATCCATAACACATTCACTATGAGGGCATACAGAGTAACGTTTAGCCTTCGGTAGGTGTGCGTCTAGCCTGAAGATTCTTTGTTTGTTAGAGGAGTGCTAGGAGTAATAAGCGAGACTATCTGGAAGAGAAAAGAACGAGGAAAGAAGTGAACCGACGACCCAACAGGAACATGGAACGGATGAAAATCTAAACTCAGGTGACGACCTTGAGCGGCATTGTTCAAGGCGGGTATGCTGCATTGAAAGTTCTTTTTAGTTCATCGAGCTTGTGTTAGCTTACATGAGTTCATAGTGTTCGCATAATCTAGTAATCTAGTGATGTCTGGATATCTAACGAAGGTCATTTAAAGTTGTTTCAAGTGTATTATCTTTCATTTTTAGTGCAAACATTACATTTGTTTCTGAATAGTTGTCCATTGGTAAGCTGCTGTTATACGCGCTTCGCTGAAGATCATATTAAATTCGAAAAATAACGTTATATCAGTGAGTAAAATGATATGTAGTCGTAAAGACTGTTTAGTTACGTCGTTATGAAAATGTCTAATGCTATTAGTCGAGCTTTCAGTTCCCGAAATCTTTGCGCGCTATTCAAAATGAACAGTGGTATTTTTCCTCGCTGAGTAAATTCTATTGTTTTGATCGTTTATACGTACCAAAACTACTGTTTTTCACTTTGATTGAGTTTCTTTCAGTTAAAGTATTCGATTAGATTATCGTTTTTGTTTCTAAAGTAGTCTTGTTGTCAGTACTTTTGAGTACTCTGTTTTTTTATAGTATCTGTTAGTACTTTTGGTTCTAACGATCTACAGTTTTCCACTTTTTTTGGTCATAGATTGTTTTTGTCCCTGAGTATTTTCGCATTTGGTTCTTTCTAAAAAACTGTGTTTAAATGACTGGACAGTGCTAAAAAAGTAATTACCAACGCCTGGGCTGTCGTTATCCTGTTGAAAGCGGCATGCAGTGCGATGAGTGCAAAGGATGGTACCACGAAGTTTGCACAAATTTAACGCCTGCAGCTTTCAAACGGTTCAGTAGGAATGGTTGCGTATGGCTCTGTCAACAGTGCTGTTCGGATGCTAACAGCTTGCTAACCGAGGTCATCTCATTGGTTAGTGCTGCTAAAAAATGTTTTGGCAAGAGTGGTCGCGACACATCAAAAAGTACTCGCTCCGTTGACAAGCAAATTGGCGTGAGGCAAACTAAAGTGAGTCCGAAAACAGATGACTCGCACCGACCAAAGAAGGGAGAACAGTCCCCAAAGAGTTCTGTTTGCACAAAAACCTCAAGGAAAAAAGTTTCTTCTGTCCCACGTCTTCAAAATGGTATTCAGAAAGAAACACATAGAAGCCGCAACCGCAAGGCTCGATCAGTTTCTAAAGGGACACCAAGCCTAACCTCCCAAGTCATCGAAAACCCTCCAGAATCCCACAGTATGTTTGACGCGACTGTGGTTGCATCTCCAAGCAACGTTGACGAATGGGTACAGGTTGTAAGGAATACCTGTGCCTCGACCCTCCGCAAGTCTAAAAAGCTATACGAACAAAAAATTGTTAAGGAATCCATAGAATGTCCTAAACGCCTGTATCCCATATAAACCAAAGGACAAAAAGAAGAGGAATTATTCCTGCACTATGGGGAGACAGTACTACCGCATCATTAGTGGAAGATGACTTTGGTAAGGCTCAAGTGTTCTCAAACTACTTTGGCAATGTATATACCATAGAAGCACCCTTCCCGTCAGCGCATACAAACCCCACACACACACATACACTGGATAGCGTGATCATTAATGATCTGCTAAATAAGCTTGACATAGGTTAATCCATGAGGCCCGATGAATTGCACCCTAGGCTACTAAAGGAATTATCTAACTTCGTTGCTAACCCTTTAAGTATATGCTTTAAGCTATCCGTTACGCAGGGTTGTTTACCAAAAAACTGGAAGAACGCCATAGTAAGTCCTGTCTTCAAAACAGGTACGAAACATAAACCTGAGAATTACCGACACGTTAGCCTAACTAGTGTGGTTGTTAAAATCCTAGAAAAGATTATTCGGAAAGAGCTGTTTAAATACCTCGATGTAAACCGGATCCTCTCGGAGAAACAGCATGGTTTCAGAATGGGTTATTCTTGTCTCACTAACTTATTAGTCACTCGAGAAAGCTAGTGCGCTTTTAAGGACCAAAAGTTACCTGTAGACGTGGCTTACGTTGATTTCAGCAAAGCTTTTGACAAGTTTCCGCACAACCGGCTGTTATATAAGCTAAAAAATGTCGGAATTGGAGGCAATCTATTGACGTGGATAGAAGACTTCCTTGTTGGGCGCCAACAAAGAGTACGAGTAAACTCAAAATTATCTAGCTAGGAAACTGTGCTTAGTGGAGTGTCCCAGGGTACAGTTATGGGGCCAGTGCTTTTCCTCTTGTATATAAATGACCTTCCTCGCTTACTATCATCATTGGTCTTGCTAAATGCTGACGATATCAAGATATGGAGAAAGATACGATGTAAGGGTGATAGCTTAGAACTCCAAAATGACATGAAGAAATTATCCGAATGGTCTCATACCTGGCAGCTGCTGATAAATACTTCCAAGTGTGTTGTAATGCATATCGGTCATCAAGGTACAGTTGCATACACGATGAATAACACTGAGCTACCTGTTGTCCAGACACATAATGACTTAGGAGTCATCGTTAGCCAAGATCTGAAGACTACTGCACACTGCCGTGCAATAGTCGCCAAAGCTTTTAGAACTTTATGGTCAATACGTAGGGCTTTTACTCATGTCGACGCTTAAACGTTTTTGACTTTGTATACAGTGTTCGTACGTCCTAAACTTAAGTACTAAATACAAGCGACTAGCCCCTGCTTAAAAAAAGACAGTGAGCTTTTGGAAAAGGTCCAGAGAACAGCAACTAAGCTGATTCCCGGAATAGCGAAGCTTCCGTATGATGCTCGCAAATGTCAGTTTTATAGGGGACTTTTAAGTCATCAGCGTAGAGGTAGGTCTTATCTGTGCTAAAGCACTTGCATATATTGTTGATGTAGATTATGTAATTCATCCGCCATGCGTGTTTCAGAGGGAAGACTGTTCTATATTAATCCATACTTAATGTGGAAGAATGAGTGTGCCACTTTCTCTTGAAAATCTTGGCCATTGGTTCGGCTGTAATGTCCATTACCGGTATGGCCATACGAAACTACACGTAAACGGATAATTCAAACCATTCGAACGCGTCAAAGGGCCCACTAAGTCGACACGCATATTGGCAAAACGCGCATCTGACTGTGAGAAAACACCACTGGATGGGTTTTGTGTGACGGTTAACTTTTGACTTTTGACATGCAGAGTACTCTCTAACACTTTTACGTACATCTTTTTGCAAATTCGGCCATATATATCTGGCATTGATTTTGTGCAAACTCTAACAGTTCAAAAGTTGTAGTAATATCCGTCTTAAGTATAACTCCATCATCTATTGAGATGTCGTGATGTGCTCTGACCAAATAACTTTTAGTGAATATATTCGCATTCTATCAGCCGTTTGCAAAATCTTAGAGTTGAGGTATTATCCCCTTATGCTTGCCAATCGCCCTCACTTTTCTTTGCGACCATAATTAAGGAGTTTCTGGTCAAAATAATTCTAGTGGCCTGAATAATACATTCGCTAAAATTAGAGATATGGCGATTCATAAATGACTGCCAAATCAATTAAAATTAGCACATCGAATATTCTGGACTACTAACTTTGGACGCAACAAAATACCTAAAATCGTGTATGACAAGAAGCACAAAATTGGAGCATCTTGTTACAACAGATTACCATAAAGATTTTTGATGGGAAAACGAATATAGATATGAATATTTTGGTTCCACTTGTATGTAAATGACCTTCCTCGCTTACTATCATCATCGGTCTTGCTATATGCTGACGATGTCAAGATATGGAGAAAGATACGATGTAAGGGTGATAGCTTAGAACTCCAAAATGACCTGAAGAAATTATCCGAATGGTCTCATACATGGCAGTTGCCGATAAATACTTCCAAGTGTGTTGTGATGCATATCGGTCATCAAGGTACAGTTGCATACACGATGAATAACACTGAGCTACCTGTTGTCCAGACACATAATGACTTAGGAGTCATCGTTAGCCAAGATCTGAAGACTACTGCACACTGCCGTGCAATAGTCGCCAAAGCTTTTAGAATTTTATGGTCAATACGTAGGGCTTTTACTCATGTCGACGCTTAAACGTTTTTGACTTTGTATACAGTGTTCGTACGTCCTAAACTTAAGTACTAAATACAAGCGACTAGCCCCTGCTTAAAAAAAGACAGTGAGCTTTTGGAAAAGGTCCAGAGAACAGCAACTAAGCTGATTCCCGGAATAGCGAAGCTTCCGTATGATGCTCGACTGGCCAAGCTAAACCTATTCCGTTTGTCATATAGTAGAACTAGAGGCGACTTGATTACAGTTTTCAAATTGCTTAGTGATAAATTTGCACCTGATATGCCCTCATTTTTCCTGTGTTCCAAAACAGAGAATTTATGAGGACACTCCAAAAAAGTTCACAAGCCCAGAACAAATTACTTGTCAACTGATTATCGACTTTCCCACCGAATCATCAACGAGTGGAATTCATTACCTCAACACGTGGTTGAAGCTTCATCCGTAGATTCTTTCAAAAGAAAGTTGGATCAACTGAGAGAACACAATCGCCAGGACTAACACAGGCCATCAAGACTCCTGTCCTTTCCAAACTGAAAGTGAAACTGATTGATACAGGTGAACAGTTTAGACGACTGATGCTGAGCAAACATTACTTATTTCAAAGCGATTTTCAGAATACATTCAATGAATTTTAATGTGCAAGATAAGTGTGGTTATATCGCTATGTAGGCTACTCACACTCATTATATGCAAGTGAGGAGACGGTAGATCACTGAGAATGAATCCTCGGCACATAGGTAAGAAATCTATTTTCTTATTGATATGCAAGTTCGAGCTTCCTTATGATGACGACTTGAATTGCCGACAAAACGTCTGTTGTCACGTACTTTTACCTTAGTACTCCCCTACTGTTAGCAATTAGCTTTTTTACCATTCATGTTTAAAGCTTGCAACACGACTTACAATCAGGTTAGACTTCGCACAAACATGTGAAGGGCAACTATATTCATCAGGAAAGGTTTTTTTTAGCAGAAATTCACTAGTCGGTAGATACTGG